TTCATACATACATACACACCCCTACCATTCCCCTACATCCATCGCAGTATAACTATGACTATAACCGCCTTCGTGCATCCGCACTTATGTTCACATTGCATTGCATATGCATCGAATTACACGTTTAAAATATCGTAAATATTTTACAACATGTACATATTATATATCAGCAAACAGAGATTATTATAACGCAATAGATTTCATCCGTCAAAACATCACAGAAAGAGGGGCAGCCTGGAATTTTACAATGGCATCTGAATGCACTAAGACGTTCAACTGGTCAGGAGGTGAGAGTTGCGGAAGATTACGGTAAACTTCAGTTACAGATCTCCATTACGAATATCTAAAGTATGAATAAAGATCACAGCTTGCTATGACGTGTACTTCATGCCTGCAGAATTAGCAATGTCCTTAGCTTTAAATTGTATGTCTAAATGCTTATGTAGACAAAGACCCAAATGTATATAGGCATGACCATATTATATTCTACGCAAATATCACCACATTTAAAAACAAAGCTAGATTGAGTCTTTGAAGGGCATTAAGAACTGATACACACAAGGAAAAATATTTATGGATGTCAGGAGGAACACTGCGTTTCGGAATATATACTTTCTCCTTCATCAGTTGCATATCATTAAATGCTATGAGGCAGAGAACATATATTTGTACCTGTAAGAACAACAAGAGTAAAAAGATAGCAAAGAAGGGAACGCAACAAGGGAAGCCAACAGATAACTGGCATGGCGCTGATTACCCCGCCTCCCTTTTGCCCATTGTCCATTTCCCATTACCAATCATTCATAAGTTAAGTTTTGGCTTTAATTTGTCCATTAATAATCAACCATCAACGTCTATTATCTCCACCCTAAAAATATGTAGTTTACTGAGAAAGTGGTATCCAAATATAATATGTGTTACTGTTGACCACTTTCTTAAAGGCATTGTTGGTTCAAAGCTTTCGGTCATAGAAGCCGTGCCATTTTTCTCTTGTCAGAGGAGTACACAAATAATACGTCATCTGGACTAACATTTTTGGTTCGGTGGCTCGGTTAGATCGCCAACTTTGTGTTCTGGCGATTGGGTGCCTCACTCACAGTGTGGGTTCAAATCCCGGACGGGACTCAACCCAAGAAAGTACGAGAATCTGTACTTTACTCAGAAAGTGTTATCCCAATTATAACATTTGTTGTCAAGAAAACACAATAAATGTATATTCGGCTTTGGATGGGTAATGATATCACAGACATATACGGATATTGATGATGACTTGGAGGAGCTTCGTAACGCACGTCTTCTCAATTCAGGGATTGGTAAATCCAAATATGTATGTGCGCGTGCGTGCGTGCGTGCGTGCGTGCGTGCGTGCGTAAATGTGGGCCTGTTGGATGTTACATAAAACATTCATCTTGAGCGGGATGGTAGTTCGAGATGGATTAGCATGTTAACTATATGAACTTCTTTAGGCAGAGAATGCCGCGCATGAATGTATTGATGAAATTCCTAGGTACATGGGGCCTTTTCGTCCCCAGGAATACCCACAGTGGAGACTTCAATGGGGATAGGGTGTACACAATGTGCTACCTGGTAGATTGTCTGTTATCAGACCGGACAACGTTGGTCTTTGACTGATTGTGGCGTAAAACACACTTATTCATTTACTTATATCGGAAATTGAATGTTCATCTTAATTGTTATTGTTGAACATGTAATATATTTTTACAGAAATAAAACAGTGACATAATAACTACAACTTTATGTGAGCGCGAGTAGCTTTTTTGGAATGAGATGAATAAGTCTTATAAAGTTGTAAGCTTCTTCACAACCGTGCAACTATGAATTGACTTTATTGGGTAATCAAAAAAGAGATAAGACCTAAAATAGCCAAATTTCATACGATTTCACTTGTCCGGCATCTTGGATGCAAGGCGAAAACATTTCAGCGCGTTTGAAGCCACTGAGAATGCCCCCTGCAGAGTTGGACGAACATTCTGCGGTGGCGCGGCTGAGTTGACCAGAGGCTATCAGCAGTATTTCCTGTCCAGGTTATTTAGGTCAGTTGTGTGTGTGTGTGTGTGTGTGTGTGTGTGTGTGTGTGTGTGTGTGTGTGTGTGTGTGTGTGTGTGTGTGTGTGTGCGTGCGTGCGTGTGTGCGTGCGTGCGGGGGTGTGTGTGGGGGGGGGGGGGTGAGATTGGGGGGATAGATGATAGATTTAGCAACAAGTAAGGTTGTCTTGAGTGGGAGGGTATTCGCAGATGGATTAGCATATGAACTATGATTCTCTTTAGGCAGAAAATGAGGATCCACGATGTTCGACCTGGTAGAAGTGTGTTATCAAACCTCACAGCACTGGTTTTTTGACTGACTGTATCGTGAAAACAAACTCATTCATTTACTTGAACTGAATGTTCATCTTAATTGTTATGGATAGTCACGGAGCCATGATCCAGAGTACAGGGTGTCATTAGATAGAAATAAACTAAGTAATAATAGGATTACCAGAAAAACGGGGTTTTACACACAAGCCAATAAACTTCGCTCATTAACACCAGAGTAAGTCAGCACAAGATTGAAAACTGCCCCATAATTATGTATGACATGCTTGTCGGGTATTGCTACATATATATGTGAAAACAAAGTTATTAAAATGAAGAGCAAAACTGATGAAAGTTAACAATAAATGTGTATACGTGTTATATCGTCACTGCAAAAATAATGATTGTTTGTCTTTAGTATTAACATTCAAATACGTTATATCTGTATTAGCGATATTGTCTTTGTTCCACCGGTGAGTCAGCGTTAGCCGTACTATCTCGTAGTATAATTGTATTTCTGAAGACATCACGATACAGTTTTTACGATGCATCACGTCTGCACTAGCGCTTGATAACAGCCTTGTGTTTGGGTGTTTCAGTGGTGTAAATCGCTGCTCTTGATATTGTTTATTAAACTTTGATACTATGAACAATATAATGTAATGTGAGAGGTTGACTTTAGAACGGTAACATACTAATAGTATATAGGATGACATAAATAGAACAATGAGAAGTTCGTCCAGATTAGTGTATAGGCAACATTTAATAATTAAAATAATTACATTCAACAACTCCCCTTTTAAGTCCATTTTCCTGACTTATAAGTAAATGCAAGAACAATCGGCCGGAATACAACGTATAGTTCTTGTCCACTTCCATATGACTATATAGCATCCAATAAGCTATCGGGTCCCGTTTAGATCGGTTTGGGTGGCAGCCTAGATAGCCATAGAATAGTTTCATCTTGGAATCTCCCATATCACTGGGGATACTCTTCAATTTAAATGGAGTTACTCGTTACGATTCCGAACCTTCACGTGACTGTGTTTATGAACCATTGTCAAATAGTGGTGACATTAAATCTAGGAAACAATACGCGAAATCGCGCATGCACAGAACGGAAAATTTGGTCAAGGCATTAAGTAATCCGCATGCGCAGAACGATTGATTTCAGTACTTCCGCTAAGCGCTTCGAGTGCAGCGTCAAACGCGGGCCTGTAATCTAACACGCGGGGACAGACCAATGAAAACCGAGAAGTAGAAATACCGGTAGGCGCTGTTGCTTGATTGACAATGTCAATCAAGAAAGGGAGGAGCTTAACGCTATCGTTCTCTCCCAGTAAATTCCGATGTCAAATAACGACGTTATTTGGACGGAAAAACGATGGTTTGAAAACGTCCAAATAACGTCGTTTTTCCGTCCAATGACCATATACGGAAAAAAACGACGTTTTCGTGTTTGCAGTGTAATGACATGTAAGTTGTTGTTTGAGAAGGGAGTATGTTACTTTTTCGTTCTGATATTTTGACGATGATTCACTATCCCACCATGCCACTCACAATTCATTAACCACTGACAAATCACATGCACGTGGGTTTCAAGCACCTGTTTTCACCTGTCGTCAAGGTGTCATAGGTCATGGACATTCACCTTGATCTACTAACACCTGGTTATGCTCAGTTTCACAATAGTCTGTTTTGTTCATATTTTTACACACTTTGACCTGTAAAAAGACATAACAACCTTTGATACGCTGTATTTGTGCCAAGGCCCAATTAGTACTAATTGAGTTGTTTGAATATTTATATATTTTGTATATTAACTGCATTTATTTAAAATCTGAGAAAAAAACAAACAGTTTTTTTTATTTCCGTGAGTTCTTTAGTATTACTACACACTCTGTGTAGATGTTGTTTGTTTGTTGTTTAACGCCGCACTCAGCAATATCCCAGCTATATGACGGCGGTCTGTAAATAATCGAGTCCGGACCAGACAATCCAGTGATTGACATCATGAGCATCGATCCACGCAATTGGGATACGATGACATGCATCAAACTGACCACCCGATCCCGTAAGTCGTCTCTGACGACAAGCATAGTCCCCTTTTACGGCAAGCATGGGCTGGTTAAGACCTATTCTACCCTGGATCTTCACGGTTCGCAGATGCGATGTAAAGTGTAAGTGTAAATGATTGTTCGTCATGAAAGAGGATGTAGATACCATAGCATTAACAGTACAGTTACAATAAATTCTATCAAATTCACATTTGCAGTTTCCATGTGGTCATTCAGTGATTCCGCATCACTACTTTATATGAATTTGAAACAAACCCTTCAGTAAATGTTAACACACATGTATGGACACTTTTCTTGTTACATATAATTTCTTTCGCAGTAAACATGGCGGCATAGGTTCCTTAGTAGTCTTTGACGCCTCAATTTCCCAAGTTGCGCCCCTGGATCGAGCTATAAACCTGTTACGGTGGGTTTGAATGCCAGATTCGCCTTGATAATGTTTCTGGGTTTACCAGCACCATACCCGTGTTCGTGGGTTTTCGCCAAAGTTGTTAACGTCCACACCACTTCGGGCTTTCCTCCCACATGAAGTTTCCACGCCTTCATATAACTGCAATACTATTAAAGAGGCATTTAACCAAACTCACTCTCTCAAGAATATTTATAGGTGACGTGTGTCCTGCTGACCCCACCGTGACGACAAACAGTCCAGTTTCCGAGGCTACACTCACGACGACAGCACCAACACCAACACCACCACCAACAACAGAGGCACCTACAGACTACCGTCTTCCCATAACTGTGCGACCGTATCTGTACACGTTGGCTCTCCAGCCCAACATCTATGGCTTGGACAATGGGATATTTGATTTCAATGGCTCTGTCTCAATTGCAACGGTAGCTGAAGTCGCTGCCAGTACCATCACGTTGCACGCCTATCCTACACTCAACATCGACAAGACAACAATTCAGGTCAGGATCCGAAATTCCTTACCTTAGAGGACCCGTGAAGATCCGGGGTAGAATAGATCTTCAGCAACCCATGCTTGCCAGAAGAGGCGACTATGCTTGTCGTACGAGGCGACTAACGGGATTGCTGACTTGGTTGATGCATGTCATCGTATCCCAATTACATGGATCGATGCTCATGATGTCAATCACTGGATTGTCTGGTCCAGACTCGATTAATTACAGACCACCGTCATATAGCTGGAATATTGCTGAGTGCGGCGTAAAACAAACAAACAAACAAACAAACAAACAAACACACTCACCCTTGGGTGCCAATGGTACGGTTGAATTTGTGATAGCAAGATGAACATTAAGTTCCCATTGCCTTAAGGACACCTTGTGATGACGTTTGTTGTATGAATGTACGTTGGCACCAGTAACTACAGTAAACTTGATAACAACACCTATTTCTGTTTTTAGAGAGGCGAGATGAGGTTAAATGGGTTTTAACGTCGCGTCTAAGATTATTGCACTTATATAGCGACGTGCATGCATATGTGTTTGGCTGCTTGCGTTAGTCCGCACTAATGCGATTGTATAGTGCTAGCCCACTGAGATACCATGCCGCTGTTTAAAGTGAATACCCCACTCAGACACAGTATAGTGATACCGAGACGAACAGTCCTTGTTGTAGCCCCTGCACCAGACAGGGTACAATCTTTTAACGTCTTTTGGTATGACGTGGCCGGGGATCGAACCCCGGACCTTCTGCTCTCCGGGCGGACGCTCTACCACTAGACCACGGCGGCGGTCTGTGGAATGTGTTTTAATTTACATAAGCGTAAATATGGACAAAACGCACTCAGAGTTTTGAACATGGCGAATGCACATGGGCTATTTATAACACACGGAAATACAGATGGGGAGATTTTCCGTTCTTTGATGGTATATACCCGGGATATATATTGCGATCATAAAACGACAGCGCGGATATTACCAAGCATATTCTTCTTATGGGCACACATGGGCATAATCCTAAAGGACACATTGTAATAACACGTGTTATGTGCGCCCTATGACACACAGGGAATAATTACATTTCAATCCCTACAGGTGAGAGACTTGGACACATCAGCCAGTGTAACTGTACAGGGCACATCTTATGAATCTCTGAGGCACTTCTTTGTCCTGCATCTGTCAGTGGCACTGACCATTGGGCGCCACTATGAGATATCCATGGCCTTTAACGGCCCCCTGTCTCAGACTGGAACTGGCCTGTATCTCAGCGTGTATGAAGAGGATGGAAAGAACGTGTAAGTTTATGTGTAGCTCTACCTTTCAGAGAAAGTTTATTTGTAGCTCTACCTTTCATAGAAAGTTTATGTGTAGCCCCCACCTTTCAGAGAAAGTTATGTGTAGCTCCATCTTTCAGAGAAAGTTTATTTGTAGCTCCATCTTTCAGAGAAAGTTTATACGTAGCTCCACTTTTCAGAGAAAGTTTATGTACATGTGTAGCTCTACTTATCAGAGAAAGTATATTTGTAGCTCTACCTTTAAGAGAAAGTTTAAGTGTAGCCGCATCTGTCAGAGAAAGTTTAAGTGTAGCTCCTCTTTTCAGGAAAATTTATGTGTAGCTCCATCTTTCAGAGAAAGTTTTGTGTTGCTCCATCTCTGTAATGATGAAAGCGTTGGACTCCAGAAAAGGGCACTTGTAGTGATTGTGTACAGTTTCGCGTTCAGTACGTTTATCAAATACCGTAAAAAAAACAACATTCATTCGATTACACCTTCACCGAAACACTGAAATTTACATGTATATATTATATATTTTCAAAATTAACTAGAAGTTTAAAAAATGTTTGGCTCTGTTGACATGTTCTTTTACCATGTTCGTTCTTTTCTAAAGTTACCTGGCAACGACCCAATTTGAGGCGCCACATGCGCGTGAAGCGTTCCCTTGCTTTGATGAACCTGCTCTGAAGGCTCAGTTTGACATCACTCTGGTGCGACAGCATGGCGGGGAAAGGAACTACACCTCACTCACAAACACTCCCCTAAAGTCATCTGGAACGCCACAGTATGTCACATCTTTGTTGATCCGGGGTAGAATAGGTCTTCAGCAACCAATGCTTGTCGTAAAAGGCGACGATGCTTGTCGTAAGAGGCGACTAAAGGGATCGGGTGGTCAGGCTCGCTGACTTGGTTGATGGATGACATCATATCCCAACTGCGTGGATCAATGCAAATGATATCAATCAATAATTATCTGGTCCAGACTCGATTATTTCTTGACCACCGTCATATAGCTGGAATATTGCTGAGTGCGGCGTTAAAGAAAAAACAAACAAACAAAACACCTTTGTATCATAATAAAGGAAGTCATCGTGCGATACCGAAAGACTGGAATACCTAAAGTAACACGTGACCAAAATGCGTCACAATGGATTCCTTTTCACACAATTCTGATGTTATATATTCTTTATAAGCACATCACACAATGACTTACCCCCGGGTACTCTAAAAGTAGCACAACATTAAAAGCCTCGTTTTGGAATTAAGCGTCCCCTGGAATCATCACTCGATGCCTAACTTTATTCGCATGTCTTAATTATTACAACAACATTCATTGACGGGGACATTGGTAACCTAGTCGTCTAAGGCAGCGAATTTCTTTGGCATGATGCCGCCCTAGTCTGTCTAACACGAGATAATAAATAATAGAACGAACCCAACTCAAGTCTAGAAAAATTTGGCAAGTTCAGATAGCCTCAGATCATATTTTAAATTTGTATGTATTAATAAGTTAAGATCAGACACTTTTATTTCTGTGACTAACGTTACCTAGGTTGCGCCCTTGAGGCATTCAAAAAACCAACCGATGATCGTATCCGGCAATATGAAGGGAGGCAACTGCGCACAGTGAAGTATAGCGTCTCAACCTTAACCTTACCGTGCTTCCCAAACCAACATACACACAACTTTCGCCGCATGGTCATCATAACATAGATGTTGCTTTTTTCCCATCTCTCAAAGGATGAGAACATCCGCGATTAGTTTACTATTCAATGTTCAAAATTATGAAATATTGTATGTATTGTATGCTATACTCGTGTTCTAGGAATGGCATGGTAGCTGACGTGTATGAGCGGACTGAGGTCATGCCTACCTACCTCTTGGCGTTCATAGTGTGCGACTACGAGTATGTGGAGACCAACGTCAGCAATGTTCTGGTATTTCACACCAATTCTTCTTCTCTGTACTGGATAGGACTTCACAGAGTATCAACCATCCTCGATTATCTAGTATAGCTTATCTCCATTCTATTATGACTACCAAGGATCTATTCGGTACCATAGCTACGTCTTGCCTCCTACTCGAATGACACGACGCTGCAAATAACCATACAATGAACTCACCCTCATCAGCGCGAACCGTGAAGATCCGGGGTAGAATAGGTCTTCAGCAACCCATGCTTGCCAGAAAAGGCGACTATGCTTGTCGTACTGATGGACTCGGGTGGTCAGGCTTGCTGACTTGGTTGATGCTTGTCATCGTGTCCCAATTGCATGGATCGATGCTCATGAGGTCAATCACTGGATTGTCTGGTCCAGACACGATTATTTACAGACCGCCGTCATATAACTGGAATATTGCTGAGTGCGGCGTTAAACAACAAACAAACAAGCAACAAACGCGAGAAGTGCTACGTTAGTGGCAGGAGAGTTAAACTGATGAGGAAAAGAAACTATAACTCTCTTTTGATATCTTTATGTTTGATTTTCATTTGAAAATATCTGAAGAATTCCATTCAAAACATGAGTTCAAAACAGACATTGTTGTTGATTTTTCGAAAGGGCATTCAATTATATAATACTATTGTGCAATTTCTTGAAATAACTGTCATTTAAAAAAACTTAAACATAAGGGTTTGTTGTTACAGTTGTTTGATTAGCGTGAACAGTTTGACGCCGCTTTTATCAGTATTTCAGTTAGATCACTGCGTGTCAGTTTGAAGTGAGAGGAAATCCCAAATCTACGAGTACGGGCATGGTTCTGACAAAGCCAGAAACATAATCAGGGTGAATCGGGATTCGAACCCACAATCATAGGTTTCTGGCGAGCCCAAGGGACACAACTCTGGGTAAAACATAAACAAGATGTTCAAATCAATCCGTATGATCAAGACGTGGACAGGACTGGTTTTAGGGATATCTATGCAGGTCGTAGAAGTGACTACATGGAACGTATAGTGGGCCTCGGTGATGATTGCAAGTGATCGTACCCTGGCGTCGTATGACGTTGGTGATAATTATCAGTACTGGAATGTCTGGTTAAATAGCTGGAATATTGCGGAATTCGGCATTAAGCCACCCCAAAAAAGTATTTAACTTTGATACTCTAAGATGGAGGTAAATATTGTTTCCATCAACGGTATCTTGTATTTTTCTCACCAGTATCGAACATGGGCGATGCCAAAGAGGTTGCAGTATACGGAAGCTGCACAACGCCATGGGATCGCGGTCTTTGAGCGGTATACACAATACTTTACGCCAGCATATGTCTTTACAAAATTGGGTATGTCCCTTTTTAAACATTTTCACTTTCAAATTGATAATAGTGATACAGTAAATAAGTTAGAATATATAAATCAAATCGCTCATGAAATGGGTGTTGTCAAATGAGTGAGTGAGTGAGTTGGGTTTAACGCCGCTTTTAACACTATTCCAGTTATATCACGGCGTGTCAGCTTAATCTGGGAGGGAAACCCGAAGTGATGCAGGTCTCAGACGTTTACCACTTCGGTGAAACCCACGACAAACCTAGACACATAATCGGGGTAAACCGGGATTCGAACTTACAATCATAGGTTTCTTGCGTGCCCAAGGGACGCAACGTTAATTCGCGGCGCCTTGGCTACCCGTGCCCCGTGGAGATATGCTCTTCTTAATGGACAAAGCATAGCATTTTATATGGATGGGGTATGGGTTTAATTCTTTTCCAACAGCGTGAAGCTTCATAATTTGTAAGCGTTCTTTATGGCATTTTCTCTCTAAATTCACAACAGTAAGGTAATGATTATTAATAATTAGAACATATGTGTTCAGAAGCTAAAGAAAATGGTGTGTTGTTTTTCCACAACGCCAGCAACTACACCCTCTACTACATGTACTTTAACTGCTGCATTTCAGACAACATCGCCATCCCAGACTTCAACGCTGGAGCCATGGAGAACTGGGGTCTCATTACCTACAGGGAGACTCTACTCTATGAACCTGGGGTCTCCTCAGCATCCGATGAGAACTGGATAGCGGAGGTCATCTCTCATGAGATTGCTCACCAGGTACGCATGCGCTGTAGAGTGAGGTGTTTTTAACGCCACTTTTGCCAATTTTTCAGTTTTATCACTGAGGGTTGACTTGGTAAAAACTACTTTTTCAAAAGAGATTACATTTGACCTTGCGTCATTATATCTGCTTGCAACGTTTGATTGATTAATTGAGTGAGTGAGTATGGTTTTACGCCGTTTTTAGCAATATTCCATCAATATCACGGCGGGGGAGACCAGAAATGGGCTTCACACATTGTACCCATGTCGGGAATCGAACCCGGGTCTTCGGTGTGACGAGCGAACGGTTTAACAAATAGGCTACCCGACCGCCCCTGCAACTTGAGAAACAATGTCCACAAAACCGTCTGTATCGGAACGTCATCAAATTTACGAGAGGCTGTACTGAACAAAAAATAAACCCTTTCAACAAACACTCAGAGGAGAATAAAAAATTAGTTTACTGCGTTGAGATTTTATGACACCATTGTTGTGATTGGAGCCTCGGGGTTTCATACCGTTACATCGCTCGACCTACCCTCCATCGTCCTTCGCACAGCACCAGGTAAAAACATTACATATACAAGGAAACAAATGATTTTTAGAACTTTTTTGTTTTAATAAGACAACTGCACTTTAAACATAGTCATTTGTTCAATCTAATTGGGGCACGTTTGGCGTCTGAGGCGTCGCAATTTGAGGGGCAGAGTTGGTCCCTTGGACACACGAGAAACCTATTACGATTCTGATCGTGGGTTTAAATCCCTGTTCGCCCCGATTATTATTATTCCAGGTTTGCCAGCACCATACCCGTATTCGTGGGTTTCATCAAAGTCGTAAACGTCAAGTTTTAGCAGTTTATTTTGAGGCATATGTTTCCAAATTACACTGGTATCACCAGCTGATTTGAAGCTCTATCCCTAACTGAAACCGCGTGCTCTTGAAAACAGTGGGTGGTGGAATGTCTGAGTGGAGAAGACGGTGGGTAATGGGATGTCTCAGTGGTGAAAACACTGGGTAGTGGAATGTCTGAGTGGAGAAAACAGTGGGTGGGGGAATGTCTGAGTGGAGAAAACAGTGGGTAGTGGAATGTCTGAGTGGAGAAAACAGTGGATGGGGGAATGTCTGAGTGGAGAAAACGTCGGGTAGTGGAATGTCTGAGTGGTGAAAACAGTGGGTAGTGGAATGTCTGAGTGGTGAAAACAGTGGGTAGTGGAATGTCAGAGTGGTGAAAACAGTGGGTAGTGGAATGTCTGAGTGGAGAGATCAGTGGGTAGTGGAATGTCAGAGTGGTGAAAACAGTGGGTGGGTGAATGTCTGAGTGGAGAAAACAGTGGGTGGGGGAATGTCTGAGTGGAGAAAACGGTGGGTGGGGGAATGTCTGAGTGGTGAAAACAGTGGGTGGGGAATGTCTGAGTGGAGAAAACAGTGGGTGGGGGAATGTCTGAGTGGAGAAAACAGTGGGTAGTGGAATGTCAGAGTGGAGAAAACGGTGGGTGGAGGAATGTCTGAGTGGAGAAAACAGTGGGTAGTGGAATGTCTGAGTGGTAAAAACAGTGGGTAGTGGAATGTCAGAGTGGTGAAAACAGTGGGTAGTGGAATGTCTGAGTGGTGAAAACAGTGGGTAGTGGAATGTCAGAGTGGTGAAAACAGTGGGTAGTGGAATGTCTGAGTGGAGAGATCAGTGGGTAGTGGAATGTCTGAGTGGTGAAAACAGTGGGTGGGGGAATGTCTGAGTGGAGAAAACGGTGGGTGGGGGAATGTCTGAGTGGTGAAAACAGTGGGTGGGGAATGTCTGAGTGGAGAAAACAGTGGGTGGGGGAATGTCTGAGTGGAGAAAACGTCGGGTAGTGGAATGTCAGAGTGGAGAAAACGGTGGGTGGGGGAATGTCTGAGTGGAGAAAACAGTGGGTAGTGGAATGTCTGAGTGGTGAAAACAGTGGGTAGTGGAATGTCAGAGTGGTGAAAACAATGGGTAGTGGAATGTCTGAGTGGAGAAATCAGTGGGTAGTGGAATGTCAGAGTGGTGAAAACAGTGGATGGGTGAATGTCTGAGTGGAGAAAACAGTGGGTGGGGGAATGTCTGAGTGGAGAAAACGGTGGGTGGGGGAATGTCTGAGTGGAGAAAACAGTGGTTAGTGGAATGTCTGAGTGGACAAAACGGTGGGTAGTGGAATGTCTGAGTGGAGAAATCAGTGGGTAGTGGAATGTCAGAGTGGTGAAAACGGTGGGTGGGGGAATGTCTGGGTGGAGAAAACAGTGGGTAGTGGAATGTCCTAGTGGAGAAAACGGTGGGTGGGGGAATGTCTGAGTGGAGAAAACAGTGGGTAGTGGAATGTCTGAGTGGAGAAAACGGTGGTTAGTGGAATGTCTGAGTGGAGAAAACAGTGGGTAGTGGAATGTCGGAGTGGAGAAAACAGTGGGTAGTGGAATGTCAGAGTGGAGAAAACGGTGGGTGTTGGAATGTCTGAGTGGTGAAAACAGTGGGTAGTGGAATGTCAGAGTGGACAAAACAGTGGGTAGTGGAATGTCTGAGTGGAGAAAACAGTGGGTAGTGGAATGTCTGAGTGGAGAAAACAGTGGGTGGTGGAATGTCTGAGTGGTGAAAACGGTGGGTAGTGGAATGTCAGAGTGGAGAAAACATTGGGTGGTGGAATGTCGGAGTGGAAAAAAACAGTGGGTAGGGGAATGTCTGAGTGGAAAAAAACAGTGGGTGGGGGAATGTCTCAGCGGTGAAAACGGTGGGTGATTGAAGGTTTAAAGCACTGGGAGAACCTTCCAGTGGATCAAACAGTGATTGGTTGAAGGTTTCATGTGCTGGAGACTTTTTCAGTGGTTCGGTAACCTAGTATCTCCCAAATGGTGGAACTGGCTGTGGCTGAACGAGGCCTTCGCTTCCTTCTGGGACTACCACATCGTGGGGGAGATCTACCCTACGTGGAGGAAGGTAAGATACGCTTACACGAGCACAGATCACCACCAATATCATCGTCGTCGTCATCGTCGTCGTCGCCATTATAATTAGTAGCAGTATTAGTAAATGTAATAGTAGTAGTGGTGGTGATCGAGGTAGATGTGGCAGCAACAGTAATAGTAGCAGCAGCAACAGTAGAAGTAGTAGTAGTTGTAGTAGTAGTAGCAGTAGTTGTAGTAGTAGTTGCAGCAACAGTAGCATCAGTAGTAGTAGTAGTAGTAGTAGTAGTAATAGTAGTAGTACACACATGGCATGTCATAGCACTGCAGGATAGTGTCTAACCTCTAACCTCATTTTGCAACGTTAATGAATATAAACAAGAAGTTGCCTTCAGGCCAAACTTGAGAAAGTTGTGCTTCACGGTGATACAATCGCCAGCAAATTAAAGTGTTAGACACACGTAGATTAAAACCGCTAGCCCAACAATTATAATGGATGAGTCTAAAATGCTGTTACAGAATGTGTGTTTGTTGATCAGGAATTAAACATTACATTGAGCATGTGTTATTTTATATATATGCTCTTTAATTATGACTATTGGTGTTGCAGCTTGACGTCCACGTATCAGCTAGTGTCCATGGTGCCCTGTCATCGGACAGTCTGAGGACGTCCCACCCTCTCACAGCTGACGTCATGACCCCCGGGGATATCAGCGCAATATTTGATACCATCACCTACACAAAGGTTGGACCATGTTGTGTGTTGTGAGTGGTGCATGTTTGTGTGGTGTGTGTGTGGTGTCTCTGTGTGTGTATGTGGTGTGGGTAAAAGTTTGTGTATGGTGTGTGTGTGTGTGTGTGAGTCAGAGTGTGTGGGTGTGTATGTGTGTCTGGGTATATATGTGTATGTGTGTGTGGTGTGTTTTTGTATGTGGGGTGTCTCTGTGTGTGTATGTGGTGTGGGGTGTATGGTGTGTGTGTGAGTGTGTGGGGTATATATATATATGCGTGTTTGTGTGGTGTGTGTTTGTGTGTGGGGTGTCTCTGTGTGTGTATGTGGTGTGGGGTGTATGTATGTGTATGGCGTGTGTGTGTGAGTGTGAGTGTGTGGGGTATGTGTGTGTGGGGGTATATATACATATATGTGTGTGTGTGTGGTGTGTGTTTGTGTTGGGGGTTTCTCTGTGTGTGTATGTGGTGTGGGGTGTATGGTGTGTGTGTGAGTGAGTGTGTGGGGGTATATATATATATGTGTGTGTGTGTGTGTGTGTTTGTGTGGGGGTGTCTCTGTGTGTGTATGTGGAGTGGGGTGTATGTATGTGTATGGCGTGTGTGTATGTGAGTGTGTGGGGGTATATATATATGTGTGTGTGTGTGTATGTGTGTGTATGAGGGAGGTGGGTACTATTGGTTAGGTTAGCTATTGGTGAAGTCCACTTGTGACGTCTAAGGTGCAGTGGCCCATTTACTTATGGACGAGATACTGCGGCGTGTGTATGTGTGCTGGCTTAGTACTTTTTCATCAGATGAGACAAATCTTTCTCTGAATTTCCTGAATGATATCCTATCCACCGTCAACCCCCGACTGTAAAAGGTCCGTCACTAGTATGTGCTTTGTCACGAGTAAGTGCCATGGAGAGTGACTGTGTCGGTGGGAAGCTGTTACCAAGTGATGAGCATGATCAGAAATGGATGTCTGCTTCCTATTGTTTCTGTGGGACGTTTCAGTGCAGGTGCTCGTATCAAACATGTATTCAATGATTTGATAGGAGCACCGGAGGCCCAGCAGTCTAAGGCAACAAGTTGCGTCCGATGCGCACGCCGGGAACCTTTAATCGCGGGTTCGAATCCCGGTTCGCACCCGACTATGTTTCTAGATTTGTCAGCACCATACCCTTGGGTTTCACTAAAGTGATCTGCATCACTTTGGGCTTTCCTAACACATTAAGCTGACACGCCGTGATATAACTGGAATACTGTTCAAAGCGGTGTTAAACCCAACTCACTCACTCACTCACTCTTGTTTTACTCTGTCTCCATGCACTGAATATGCTGCTTGTTGTGCTGTTGCAGGGTTCTGCTATCATCCGGATGATGCATCTCGCCATGGGCCAGGACATCTTCATCCTTGGTCTTAATGTAGGACACCTTTGTAGTCGGTATTGTGAATGACATTCTGTGCGTAACATAATTATCTTGATAATAACCGCTATATACATATATACATATTATACGTACCCAGGCCAACAAACCTGATCTTGTCCTTTTTGATAAATCAAATGAAATAAGTTATATTATTGGCTTTTTCTGTCCCTTTTGACACCAATATGATTGACAAGATTCAGTAAAAACATGGCAAATATGCAGACCTTGCGTTTGAAATGTCACGGTTGCATCCTAAGTGCCAAGTTGTCCCTCTCCCCGTTGTTCTCGGTGCCTTAGGTTTGGTACCTCCCAATCTGTTGACTGACATTGGGAGAGTATCCGGATCTGCTACCAGGAATACAGCCCTTCTGACAATCTGGGTAATGCAGAAGGCTGCAGTGTTGGGGATTCTTCACATTCTCCGAAAAGTTCTGGCTGGGTTTGTCTAGGCATCGCTTCCTGGGAGAAGTCCCATTCGCTGTCTGGGCTGCGTGTAGAGGGGGCAGGGGCCCTGAGCTGATGATGAGCCTTACCAACCTGACTGTGCCAGAATCACCCAAACCTTCTTTGCTGCATTTTTAGATTTTAATCAGTAAATAATAATAAGTAACACTTCAACAGAGGGGCAACAAAGTGCCAGTTTGTGTTATTCTCTTGTATATTTTCACTAGTTTCTAACACATAATGTTTATCCCCTGGACGTCTCAGTTCTTTGATTACAAAGTCTAAATTTAGACTGAATTGGGTTGGAGATCCTAGAGCACAGCCCCCTATATCTAACTCGGTTATGTTGTAAAGAGGAAGAGCCTGATAAGAAAACTGTTCTTTGTGTTCATAGCGTTATCTGGAAGCAAATAAATTTGGCAACGCAGAACATCAGGATTTATGGGATGCTCTCAGTGCGGTAAGTTATACAGGTTCTTTTCTCATACTATTTCGTGTCATTCTTCTATGGTTGTGTTGTCCCAGTCGTCCGTTACGCTGCAGGTGGCACCGGGCGCCGTGTCGTCTAAGGCGCCGCGATTCTCTGTGCAGAGTTGTGTTCCTTCGGCACGCCAGAAACCTTTGATTGTGGGTTCGAATCCTGGTTCGCCCTGGTTATGTGTCTAGGTCTGTCAGCACCACACCCGTGCTTGTGGGTCTGAGACCTGCATCACTTCGGGCTTTCCTCCCACATTAAGCTGACACGCCGAGATATAACTGGAATACTGTTAAAAGCGGCGTAAAACCCAACTCACTCACTTACTATTACGCTGTCACGGAGTTCCGTCCCTTTGGCTCGCCAGAAATCTTTGATCGTATGTTCGAATACTAGATTCATCCTGATTATGAGATATGTTTGTTTGTTTGTTGTTTAACGCCGCACTCAGCAATATTCAAGTCTATATGACGGCGGTCTGTAAATAATCGAGTCCGGACCAGAAAATCTAGTGATTGACATCATGAGCATCGATCCACGCAATTTAGATACGATGACATGTATCAACCAAGTCAGCGAGCCCGACCACCCAATCCCGTTTTGCGCCTCTTTACGGCAATTTACGGCAAGCATGGGTTGCTGAGGTCCTGTCACCTCCACCCCCGTCCTCTTATCTTTCATCAAAGTGAATGCCGATTAAGAGCAGAATCACTTCGGGCTTTCCTATAGCATCAAGCTGACACCCTATGATATAACTGAAATACTGTCATTTTTCCTGAATCTAACTTCTCACAAGAAGTTATATATAATAACATTAATCAATAATGATGTCAAGCAAACGTCTGATTTTTATGTTAATTTTATGAACGTCAAGATTGCCTGTATCTTAAAGGAGTTATGGCAAAAATGGCCACGAGAGGGGCACGAGTCGCTATTCGGCTTGTCCCGGAATAACACGAGTTGGTCACGAATGGTTATATTGTATGGTCTGAATGTAATAAGAGCAACATAGCGGAATAACTTATACCCGCCCATGTAGTATCTACTTTCATTTCTATGTTGATTGTTCTTATCAGCAAGCCACTGAGAGTAACCTCAACTTGAACATGACCGAGGTCATGGACCCCTGGGTAACGCAGATGAACTATCCTGTGGTCAACGTCGTCGTGACGGCAGGTGCAGTAACATTCACTCAACAACGATTCCTCGTTTCTGGAGCAGAAGATGCCAGTCAAGATGTCGGCACATACGGGTAGGTCTGTAAAAAGAGGCCAGGTAACATGGATATTTGATCGCCGATTGTCATATATGCGAACATAACGTATGAATTTTCAAATCGAACCCTAGAGTTTAACGTAAAACTACGTCTTACTTTGAAATATTTTTCTCCAATAATAAAACCGACAATTTATTGTTATTATCTGAATCCATTGTACGATTCCGACTTTATCATGAGAATGTGTTTATGAATCACTATCACATGGTGATGATGCCAGGTGTTCGCGAAACGTGAGGGTACCCTTCTCCATTGGTGCCACCCGTCGCAAACACATGCAAAGACAAGTCAAGTGTTCACCTGAAAAAACAACAAAAAACACGGGAACATATGGTACAAGTCAAACTTAGGCATTGCATCGGCCATCATTTTGTCACTGACACAATTTGGAAATATCCTACACATACCATAGCACGTTTTAAACGTTATATTGAAGCCTTTAATCTGTAACTCTTAACAAACGTAAGCAGGATTCGTTTGACGCTCGTTGAAATGTTCCCACAAAGAACATACTCGATTGTTCCTCTAAAGAACAATGCAATAAACAAACTGTCAAGTTGTGGCATTGTGGCATCTGAGTCAGCGTCAGTAACAACGTACCATTTAAGTGACTTCAGAGCATTAAAGATATAGTAAGCATTATTTATGCTTAATTATAGCTAAAATGGATAGAATTATCATAAAAACGCCCGCATGTTATCAGAAATGAGCGGGCCACTGTAACTTGATAATGCCCTCATATTACTTGACCACGGGCCATTATCACGCCCGTTGTTAGGTGACGTAGTAGGATAGGGATAGGTGACGTAACGTTCAATAGTGACGTCATCTGGGTTGCTCTATGGCGTTTCCATATTTGTAAAAGGGGGTCAGTGACATTCATGTTGATTGCAGTAAATGTTTCAAAATCGACATTGTTGTTTCTTTTTATTTGATGACAAATTCCATCCATTTTAGCTATAATAACGGTAACGCTATTTTTCAGGGCATTATCATTTGCAGAAGACCTCGGGCTTCTGCAAATGATAATGCCCTGAAAAATAGCGTTACCCTTATAGTATGATACAGATTAATACATACAATATCGCTCTCGTATATTTTCATTTCAAATATTTCAACAATAAAGTAGAAGCCTCTGCTTCTGTGATCAAATGTTGGTGTGATAATCTGAAATACGGCGTGTCAGCTTAGTGTGATAAAGGTCTCAGACGTTAACTAGTTTCGTGACAAGCGTTTAATTTGGTTATTGTGTTGACCAACCAAGAATCATAGTCAGGGCGAATCTGGGATTCGAACCCGCCACGCTAGGATTCTGGCACGCCTAGGGGACGGAACTCTACACGGCCCTTAAGACGACTTGGCCACCTGTGCTCCTAGGACATATTGCAACAAGAAACCTGACTATCCATACTGACTTGACACCAATGACGTTGTCGGCATTATTGTCATACTCAATAAAGTGTGTGAAATGTATTGATAACTTAATTTAAAATATGTTCAGGTGGGCTTAAGAAGTGCCTTAGATGAGAAAAGGACGTGGCATGGTATAGTTTTTTAGCTATAACTTATATAACATACAAAACATACAAGTTTTGTTACAGCTACAAGTGGACGATTCCTGTCACGTTCACCGTCAGCTACAACGTTAACTTCACCGAAGAATACGCATATGACAACATCCACTACATGAAAGTTAACGAAGACTCAAGTTAGTATATAAACATAGCGGGGACATGTGTTTCATGCAGGATTAAGTGTTGAAGATATAACTTGGCAGGCAAAAGAAAGTATTTACTTAAAAACGGATTGGTCAAATAATTACAACCTTATAAATCCGTTACTAGGATGAAAACAGTCGCGAAACACTGCAAACTTAAGGCAGACACAACTACGATACCCTGTTTAAAATACACCCCAATCGAATAATATTTCTTGTTTGTTTCATTTTTGTCCAAACATGGGTGTATAGTGTCTGTTGGCCGGCAGTTTGGTATTGAAGACCTAAAGTATGGGTTAGCCATTTGTTTTAAGAGGACGACCTACGTGCATAAGTCTCGGCGACTAATGTCAAGAATTGTAGTAGCCATTAAGTATTTGCTCACGTGTTCTATATATTCTACCCGGGATTTCCGGTGTGTTGTGGGCATATGAAGATATCTATGGGTTGTTCCAGTGGAGCTGCCTGTCAATGTCTCGACTGGTGGCTGGATCATTGTCAACATTCAGCAGTGCGGCTTCTACCGCGTCAACTACGACGCGACGACGTGGAATAACATCATAGCCTTCTTAAGTAGCGACCACGAGGTGAACACAAGCAACTTGATCCTAAATGTGTCCCGAGTAGCTCCATTTAAGTATTGAATACTTGACCGCAGTCCTGTCGAAATTTTAATACTTGAAGGCGGCATGTCTGCTAAACTTCATATCATATCTGCTCTACTGCTGTAAAGGTTTTACTTCTACGCGTTAAAATGAAGCGTGTCTTTCAAATCTCACTCTTGTTTATTATTATTCTAGAAAATACATCCGATAAATCGCGCGCAGATCATTAACGATGCATGGAACCTGGCAAAGTGAGTATTATCGTCCAATGGCCATGCTAGCACTCATATTGAGACCGACAACACTTGAGAAATTGTCATGCTAACACTAATAGTGAGACCGACAACACTTGATATATTGTCATGCTAACTCTAATAGTGAGACTGACAACACTTGATATATTGTCATGCTAACTCTAATAGTGAGACCGACAACACTTGATATATTGTCATGCTAACTCTAATAGTGAGACCGACAACACTTGATATATCGTCATGCTAACACTAAGACTGTGACTGACAACACTTGAGATATTGTCATGCTAACACTAGTACTGTGACTGACAACACTTGAGATATCGTCATGCTAACACTAAGACTGTGACTGACAACACTTGAGATATTGTCATGCTAACACTAAGACTGTGACTGACAACACTTGAGATATTGTCATGCTAACACTAAGACTGTGACTGACAACACTTGAGATATTGTCATGCTAACACTAGTACTGTGACTGACAACACTTGAGATATTGTCATGCTAACTCTAATAGTGAGACTGACAACACTTGAACTATTGTCATGCTAACTCTAATAGTGAGACTGACAACACTTGAGATATTGTCATGCTAACTCTAATAGTGAGACTGACAACACTTGAGATATTGTCATGCTAACTCTAATAGTGAGACTGACAACACTTGAGATATTGTCATGCTAACTCTAATAGTGAGACTGAGAACACTTGAGATATTGTCATTCTAACTCTAATAGTGAGACTGACAACGCTTGAGATATTGTCATGCTAACTCTAATAGTGAGACTGACAACACTTGAAATATTGTCATGCTAACTCTAATAGTGAGACTGACAACACGTGAGATATTGTCATGCTACCACTAATACTGTGACTGACAACACTTGAGATACCGTCATGCTAACACTAATACTGTGACTGACAACACTTGAGATATTGTCATGCTACCACTAATACTGTGACTGACAACACTTGAGATATTGTCATGCTAACACTAATACTGTGACTGACAACACTTGAGATACCGTCATGCTAACACTAATACTGTGACTGACAACACTTGAGATATTGTCATGCTAACACTAATACTGTGACTGACAACACTTGAGATATTGTCATGCTTATACAAATACTGTGACTGACAACACTTGAGATACCGTCATGCTAACACTAATACTGTGACTGACAACACTTGAGATATTGTCATGCTAACACCTACACTAGAGCAGAATACATTTTGTTTCAGGGCAGGCCTGCTAGATCAGTCTGTTGCCCTGAAGACAGTCAATCACCTCAGCAGGGATCTGGATTACGCCCCTTGGCGAGCCTTTATCCGGGAACTTGGCTACGTACAAAATATGTTGGAGCGGACTTCACTGTTTGGACTGTTTGAGGTATAGGCTTACTGAATAGACTTTCAAGATGAATGCAATAAGTTTAGCTTCACTCCTTAACACAGTCTACACGTAACCTTTGATAACAAATATATATTGATTGTGAAGTGTAGGTTGACATTCACATTATATAGATACAGTAAACTACGGTTATAACGAACTCAAAGGGACTACTGATTTTAGTTCGCTATAACCGTAATTCGTTATAAGCATATATACAGTATAACTACAGCTAATAGTCGGGACTAGAAAGTTAGTTCGTTACATCCGTTAGTTCGTTATAAGCGTGTTCGTTATAACCGTAGTTTACTTTAATAAATAATTCACTTTATAATGCGCCATTCCACTCAAGTGAAAGCTCAAGGTGCTACATTGATATTCCCTTGGGCATTGGGTCAGTGTGGACTCGAATTTCATTATCGGCTCCCTGGGGAGTATACAACCCGAGCTACCGGTGAGATACCAGACAGTTAACAGTCACATTACCATCTCATCCTACCGGGTACCCATTCACTGCTGGGTGAACAGAGGCATATTTCAAACAAAGTCACTTGCCTAAGGAGACAACACACGTGGTACATGTGCTTCAGTGTGGGGCAGGAGCGAAGCCCTGGAAACTGTCAGGAGCTACCGACGTTGTGTGTGTGCGTATGTGTGTGCGTATGTGTGTGCGTGCGTGCGTGCATGTGTGTGTGTGTGCGCGCGTGTGTGTGCGTGCATGCGCGAGCACATAAGTTATAGAGGTTACTAGTTTCTTGTCAAAACAATATTTTTTTATATTGTTGCCTGTCTATGGTTGATCAATTCATAAGAGGGCCCAGAGTAAAAATGACAACTTTGACAGATTACAACATAAAATTCTACTTGACAGAGATAGTCAAAAGTAATGTTTATTATGTATTTTGATAGTGATCTTCATGAACCTACCCTGTAAACCAAATTATCCTCGAGGAAGACTGAAAGAAGTTCCGACATAAACGTGTATTTCACTCGAATGAAATAGCATGTAATTTCACTCCAGTGAGATATATTTTGATTTATCTTTTGATTACTTCATCACTTAATACTTAATACATTTATAATCTATATTACAGGAATTCATGAAAAATACAGTTGCCACTCCGTATTCTTTACTTGGAACCAATATTACAGAGGCGATGCCCCCAGTAGACAAGTAAGTGTCCTTATCGTGATGTGGTTGAAGATCTTTAACGGGGGATGTCAAACGCTCATTCCATGAAAGTATGTTTATTTTATTTGTTGATTAACGCTGCACTCGGCAACATTACAGGCATACGACGGCGGCCTGTAAATAATCGAGTCTGGACCACACAGTCCAGTGATTGACATCATCAGCATCGATTTAGTCAAGTCAGTGAGCCTGACAACCAAATCCCGTTAGTCGCCTCTTACATCAAGCATTGGTTGCTGAAGACTAATACTGACCCATATCGTCATGGGGGCAATACAGCTATATAAACTAGGCCCTGTTTATTATTAGATTAAGTACCCTGGATAATCGAGGATGGACTCTGTGTTGCAGGATTGAAATTGCTCAGATAGTGTCTTTGGCCTGTGACTATGACTACCAAGAGTGCGTGGACACGGCTGTGAGGTCTCTGGACGAGTGGATGGCCGACCAGTCCGTGAACAGGTAGGTGTATCAAGGCTGAACAACGAACGCCAAGTGAATGAGGGGGTATCGCCGATTTGAACATTAATAGAGCTTTTCACTGAATGTATTTCTGGACAGTAAATGTCATATAGTAGGAATAAGTTCCGTATCAATACGATATTTATTATATGGAAACACACGAGGGTAAACTCGCAAATGTTTTCGCACAATATAATATAATAAACTCACGACCAAAAGAAATGTTACTATAGTTTTAATCACTCTAGTTTATGACCAGAAAAGATAGATATTTGACGTAAAATGTATTGAAAAGATCAAAATTTCAACGAAATCAGCAATTAAAATGACAGTCATACAGCTTCCGATATTGCCATGACAGTTGCCCGTATTGAAGTGGGTAAGCAAAAACAAGCTTTTTAATCGTAATGGACAAAGGGCACGCACATCTAAACATCGCTCAAGATCACGTTCACATCAATATCGTGTATGAACACCCCCTGCTACAAGACATGCAAAACCTCTCCAGCGCGCAGAAAACGTCAGTCATTAGATGACGTCACGCGGGAGACGTCGCCATTCTTCTTGGAGGGCCTGGGTCAGTTCCTGTCGGTTGGCTGGAGGATGCGGTCGCTGTCGAACACGACGATGCATGACATCGCAGAGGTGGGGGAAATGTCTGAGGAGCGTGAAGTCCACGGCAATACTTTCACGTTGTGCAAGGAATTTATGTAGGAAGTTTCGAGCTGTATGGGGTCTGGCGTTGTCATGCTGATAAAGGACACCACGTGACAGCTGTTTTAGAAATGGTATCATAATCCATGTAACGGTGTGCTGTCACATTTCTGTGAACGATGACCAGTGGTGTTCTCTCCTGCCCACAAAATCCTCCACACACCATAACACCCTCTCCACCATACGGCCCGACCTCATAAACACAACTTGCCGGAGTTCGTTCTCCCGTCGGCGGTAACCACGTCTTCCACAAGATCTGAACAGACAGAACCGGCTTCAAAGTGGTAAGGTTTCTTTTGGCCGTCAGTGTATGATGCAATTTTATAGCAGATCTAGGTAAAAACGATGTGATAGCTTCGCAGTGCCTGAATGGTTGTCTCACAAACGTTCACACGTCAACATCGTGTTTGAAAACACTAAGTATTTGGCTAAAATATCGGTGAAAATATTGAGCGATTCTATTCTCTCCAATTGTTTGTCAAATTTCACAAACTATATATAGTTTGCAAACTGTTTGCGCAATGTCCACACACACAAATTTATGTTGGCAAACCTGAGTATCTCCTTTGAAGGCATCTTCAGCAAAGCGTTCGCTCGTCACGCCGAAGACCCGGGTTCGAATCCCGACATGGGTACAACGTGTGAAGCCCATTTCTGGTGTCCCCCGCCGTGATATTGCTGGAATATTGCTAAAACCGGCGTAAAACCAAACTCACTCACTCACTCATCTTCAGGACATGTGGTACTGGGGACCTGTTCTGAGCCGGTCTCCCCACGGGTCCCATGTTAAATGGTCATCATGCGTTACACGGTACCCTTGTTGCGGCCGAGTGTTGTCGTTGACGTCGCACCGTTGTCAATGTTGATGCCAATCATGATAATGTTCTCGGAGGCATCTCCTTATATAACCGCCTTCGTGGTCTAGAGGTAGAGCGTCCGCCTGGAGAGCGAAAGGTCCGGGGTTCGAACCCCGGCCGCGTCATACTAAAATACGTTAAAAGATGGAACCCGTCTGGCGCTCGGCATTAAAAGGCTAACAGAAGTCAGCTCGGAGTCAGAATACTGTGTCTGAGGGGGGTATTCATGTTAAACTGCGGCATGGTATCTCAGTGGGCTAGCACTATTAATCGGCATCAGTCCGGACTAGTACAATCAGCCAGACACACACACGTGCATGCACGTCACAGTATAAGTGCAATAATCTTCGACGTGACGTTAAACCCCATTTCAACTCACCACAATCTCCTTACATACACACCATTTGGATTTAGGGGACTTTTGATGCACTTACAATGTTGGTTGGTTCGCAATATTCCAGCTACATGACGGCGTTCTGTAAATAATCGAGTCTGGTCCAGACAATCCAGTGATTGATATCATGAGTATCGCTCACACAATGATGCTGAACGCCATGCAAATAGGATTCCGATGTATAACCCTGTATATTGTTTTGTACATTCTGACATGTAATTCTGACATTCTGGTATTTTGCAGCATATATCCGGACCTGCGCAGTACGTTCTACTGCACAGCAGTTAGACACGGAGATCTGGCACACTGGGACTTTGTCTATGAGAGATATCACACGGAGCAGACCAGCTCGGAGAAGACAAGTCTGAGACAGGCTCTGTCCTGCACCAGAGAACCCTGGCTACTGCAGAGGTGGGCGTGTCACTATTATACACATTACTAATGAGCTACTAACATCGAAAATGAAGAGTTGTGTCCCCTAGGCGTGTCAGAAACCTATGATCGTGGGTTCGAATCTAATATTTGCCCTGATAGTGTTTCTAGGTTTATCAGCACCATACTCGTGCTCAGAACATCACCTCCGGCTCTCGTCCCACATCAAGGTAATAGTCCCTGATAGAACTGAAATATTGTTCAAAGCGGCGTAAAACCACATTCACTCATTACACGAGCGAGTATGGTTTTGCGCATATTTTTACCATAATCCAGCAATATCACGGCGGGGAATACCAGAAATGGGATTCACACATTGTACCCATGTGGGAATTGAACCCTGGTCTTCGCGTGACGAGCGAACGCTTTAACCACTAGGCTATGACACCGCCCGTACTCATTACAATCGAAATATAACCGTTAAAGTGTAGGTATGTCACTAGGGTAGCCTAGTGGTTAAAGCGTTTGCTCGTCTCGCCGAAGACCCGGGTTCGATTCTCGACATGGGTGCAACGTGTGAAGCCCATTTTTTTGTCCGCCGCAGTGATATTGATGAAAAATTGCTAAAAGCGGCGTAAAACCATACTCACTCACTCAGTCTATCTTTCGGATTCCATAATTCAATGGACATTTGTTATGGGAGAATCGATATACCAGGAGTATTGGTTCTTGTGGAAGAAAATACCCGGGATGAGGATTGTATTTCCGTCTCGCGGAATATCGTGTATATACCTGCCGTAAAACACCTACCAAAATACACAGCATTTGTTTGTTTGCTGTTTAACGCCGCACTCAGCTATATTTCAGATATATGACCGCGGTCTGTAAATAATCGAGACTGGACCAGCCAATCCAGTGACTGACATCATGAGCATCGATCCACGCAATTGTCATACGATGACATGCATCAACCAAGTCAGCAAGCCTTGACCACCCGATCCCGTTAGTCGCCTGTTAAGACAAGCACAGTCGCCTATTCCGACAAGCATGGGTTGCTTAAGATCTATTCTACTACGGGTCTTCACGGGTCAAAAAAAAAAAGCAGTGACACGTACCACTGTATTAATTAATTGGCTATATGTTTACCCTGCTAACGAAATTATAACCATTGAAAATAAATATATCATATGATTTATTTATTTTATAAAAAAACCAAAACATATAAAATCAATACAAAAAAAACAACAACTTAAAAAAACACACCAACAGCTATTACTAAATGTTCTTTTCAGCTCAACCTGAATAACACAATTTATAAAAAATAATTCTATGCTTCCCAGGTTGCTGGACATGTCGGTGAACGCAAGCGAGGTTCGACCCCAGGACGCTCGGACTACCATCACCTATGTGGCAAACAGCCGGTGGGGACGGGACCTGGCATGGAACTTCGTCACTCACAACTATGCACATCTTAGCGACGTGTAAGTCTGCATCGTGTATGTCACGCAGCGTCGAGAAAATACATGTTGACCAGGTTTACCAATAGCTTCGTAAGCTTTTTTTTTTTTTTTTTTTTTTTTTGTTGTTGTTTAACGGCGCACTCAGCAATATTCCAGCTTTCTGACGGCGGTCTGTAAATAATCGAGTCTGGACCAGACGATGCAGTGATTGATATCATGAGCATCGATCCATGCAATTTGGACACGCTGACATGCATCAACCAAGTCAGCGAGCCTGACCACCCGATCCCGTTAGTCGCCCCTTACGACAAGCATGGATTGCTGAAGACTTTTTCTAACCTGGATCTTCACGGGCTAATTTAGTTTTGTGTGGTTTGTTTAAGATACTGAGACGTGGTTCGTTAGTTGTTATATTTCCCAATAATCTTTGATATGTGGCATGTAACGTTATAGAATATTTGTAAATGTTTGTCCATTTTTCCCATGTTAATATATTTATTTCAATTCCTCTGAGGGAAGGGAAGTTATAGTGAACTAAATCCGCTCATGTTCGGTTCATAGTGATTATTTATGGACCCGTGAAGATTCGGGGTAGAATAGGCCTTCATGATCAACAACCCATGCTTGCCAGAAAAGGTGACTATGCTTGTCGTAAGAGGCGACTAACGGGATCGGGTGGTCAGGCTCGCTGACTTGGTTGTTGCATGTCATCGTATCTCAATTGTGTAGATCGATGCTTATGATGTCAATCACTGGATTGTCTAGTCCAGACTCGAGTATTAACAGACAGTCGTCATATAGTTGGAATATTGCTGAGTGTGGCGTTACACAGCAAACAAACAAACAAACAAATAATGTTATTTATGACTATCTGCCGTAAGTTAGCAAAACTGCAACAACTATCAATAATGGGTGATATTATTCACTTTATTACATTCCGAGACAGAATATTGTTTTTTCACTGATTGAAGACATGCGGGCTTTTGCGTCGACTACTTGATATTTTCACGTCACATTTTTGTCAGGACATCCAGTGTTTTGTTTTAGAAAATCCTGACACAAAATTATTATGTACCCGTAACATCAAACGATTAGTCCCCAGCTTCAATTCTGTTCGGCGCACAAAATGGACCCATCATACATTTTCATCATTTATAGCAGTCATGCCAATACGCATCCGTTTTAGACCTGTCCCTAGCAATATTGCATTCAACCTTAACAATGTCCATTTCGAGGTTTAAAGTGAGAGAGTTAAATACACTGCCAGGCAAAAGAAAGTATACACCTATGTATGTTGGTGGCTAAACAAGAAACAGACCAGAAATGGTCATTCGATGGTGATGTATTTGATAAGGCTATCATAGCTGTGGCGTGGACCTTAGGTTTGCAGTATAGGAACGTTTTGATAACGTTTGTAATTGTTTGGTCAAGTCCAAATTTCAAGTGTATACTTTCTTTTGCCCTACAGTTTACGTGGCATTGTCAATATCTCAGTCATTTAGCATGTATATTTTCTATTCATGATGCCTATCCTGCAAACGTGATAAAATAACGTTTCCGTACTATTTTACTGATATATTCGTTGCATTTTCCTGTCTGTTAAATATATAACGTGAATTATGTTACAGAATAAAGTCCGTTTCTGGAATGTCGAGCCTCATCCCCGATATCACCGTCAAATTCAACACCGAACAGGAATACAAAAAGGTATAGCTATGGTTTTGTTTTAATCATCTTATAAATCATTGAGGTTTCGTTGCAAAAGCTATGTCGAGAGAACAAGATGTTTAAGAACTGCCAGCAATGGGTAGTGGGCGGTGACAGTAGCAGTTAAACTGGTGACTATACATTTTCCGCGTAAAACTACAATCAAATAAGTTACATTCCCTATAATATGTTTCAATTGACGGCGTTTGGGTAATATACACTTCCCTTCCCAATGTATCTGAAGTCTGTGAAGAGCAGTGTTTTATCGCACAGCATTATTGTAAGCAAGGATGTAAAAAAGGCATGCGCAAGTTGCGCAAATACTGTAGTAAGACATCATTGTAAGGTTGGGGAAAGGGAGCATTCGTGACCAACTCGTGTTATCCCGGGACAAGCCGAATAGCGACTCGTGCCCCTCTCGTGGCCATTTTTGCGACCGGGTTCCGTCTTAACGCAAACGGGCAGACGTGAAACAATTGTCAACTCATTGCGTAATGGTTCACAAATATTTTCCCATATATCATACATATTTCAGATGCAATTTAAAGCACAGCTTGACATGCGGAATTATACAGTATGATTGAGCACATTTAACTGTGTCTTGGGTATATTTTTAGATGTAAGACATATGTAAAATCAAAAATTATTTCTGAGGGATTCTTTGACGAAGAACTTGAAATCATACGCGCAGACTGATTGGTTTGTCGTATTTTCGCACATAACATTCATGGAAAAGGGGACGAGTCTTCTTGCAGGTTACGGAAAGGGGCGAGTGGTGACTAATGGGAAAGGGAGTTCCACTGTTCTGGGACCACACAATTAGTTCTACAAAGTTGCGTCCCTTTGTTGAGCAAGGTTCGCACTGAATATAAAGCACCAGAGAGGGTTTCACAATGTGGCCATTTCACTTCGGACTTCCCTCCCACATCACTCCGTCTAATAACTGTTGCGCTTACTCCCACTCACTCAGTCATCAGTATATGGGTACCTTGTGAGCACTCTCATCGGAGCGGGTGGGGTGGTAGTGGTGGGGGTGGTGGGATGGGGTGGGGTGGGGTGGTGGGGATGGGGGATGGTCGGTTAGCCTAGTGGTTTAAGTGTCACGAAACCAAGACACATGTTTAGATTCCCCAAATAGGACAATGTGTGAAGGCTATTTCTGGTGTCCTTGATATTGCTGGAATATTGCTCAAAGTGGCATAAAAGCCAACTCACTCGCTCACTGATCAGATGGTCGTATAGTGTGTCATCGTATTCCGATGGCGTGGAACGGTGCTTGCAATATCAGTCACAAGTTTGTCTGGTCAAGACGCAATTATTTATGAGGCCAGCTCACTCACTCACTCACTCACTCACTCACTCACTCACTCACTCACTCACCCACCCAGCCACTCACTCACTCACTCACTCACTCACCCACCCACCCATCCACCCTCTCACTCACTCACTCACTCACTCACTCACTCACTCACTCACTTCCAGGTTCAGGACTTCATGGACAGTGGTGAGGACGTATCTGGGGCCGCCTCAGCGTTTACTCAGGTTTTGGACAGAACCAGGACCAACATTGACTGGCTGAGGAAGAACTATGATATCTTCCAGGACTGGCTGCAGACTGCGCCAAGAAACTAGAACACTCTGACTCAAACGTTGTGTAGATATATATTGAAGGCTATTATCACGGATCAACATTGACAGGCCGAGGACCAACTACGAGATCTTCAAGAACTGGATCCAAAGCCAGACACTGAACTAATGCTTTCTGAATCCAACTCATCCTCAACCATCCAGGGTATTATGATAAATACACTGGAGCCATTCGCCACCACAGCATCCCATTGAATTCAGTACGAATGACACGACGTTCCAAATTAATCGCTCTTTCATGATTGTGTCAATGTTGATGTTGATGTATAAGGGGATGCACTTCATTTTTGATAATGATTGATGAAGTAGAGATGTCGTTCAGGTAGAGATTGTTTTTATATAGATACAGTAAACGACGGTTATAACGAACTCAAAGGGACTAATATCATTTGTTCGTTATATCCATAGTTCGTTATAAGCGTTTCAACTTAAAGTTATCGCAAATGGCCTGGACCAAAAACAATAGTTCGTTATATCCGTCACTTCGTTATAAGCGTGTTCGTTATAAAGGTAGTTTACTGTATACATACATTCGAGTATACAGAATATACATGGTGTTCTTTAATACATAGCTGCAACGGTTCGATTCACCTTTGTGCTTGAGCAGTACCAGGGCCTAATGTCCGGACTCTGTTTTCGAGCTCTTTAGCTTTTTCTCTATCGATCCATAGTTGGTTGGTTGGTTTGTTGTTTACGCCGCACTCAGCAATATTCCAGCTATATGACGGCGGTCTGTAATTAATCGAATCTGGAACAGACAATCCAGTGATTAATATCATGATCATCGATCCACGTAATTGGAATCGATGACATGCATCAACCAAGTCAGCGAGTCTGACCACCCGATCCCGTTAGTCGCCTCTTACAACAAGCATAGTCGCCTCTTATCGCAAGCATGGGTTGCTGAAGACCTATTCTACCCCGGGTCTTCACGGGTGTACTCCATGGGGGTAATATTTATGTACTGATGGTGGTAATCCACAACTCTGATTTCATGGGCAACACAACATAGATCTTAACAGTCAGTCTTAAAAATTAGTACATTAAAAATAGAAACAAGCGGCGAATTTACCAGTATTCGACTTCATATGCGTGTGGTCGCCTTCACAACCATCTTATTCCACAAAACCTTCCATGTCGTAGTATTCAGGAAATCATCCACTCAAGATATAAATATGTTATAACAGTGTCTTGATTCAGTTATATACATCGAGGACTCGCTCGGACGATGCAGTGATTTTGAATTTAGATGTATGCCCAACTTTGATTGGTTGTTTCACGCTCATGCGCTGGAGAAATTATGTGACCCAGTTCTATGAGTGAGTGAGTTTGGTTTTACGCCGCTTTTAGCAATATTCCAGCAATATCACGGCGGGGGAGACCAGAAATGGGCTTCACACATTGTACCCATGTCGGGAATCGAACCCAGGTCTTCGGCGTGACGAGCGAACGCTTTAACTACTAGGCTACCCGACCGCCCCTCTATGAGAGATGGAGCCTCCGGATGAAGCGGTGAATGCGTTTAGCATGTTATAACATAATAGAATTGGGATATATAATTCACTTGATAGACTTGCTTCAGGCGCTTTTGAATAAAGAGAGAAGAAACTAGTTCCAGGAGTCTCGTTTGTATACAATTAGTTGATTTGAATATGATATGGAATCGTGGATGTTGTAAACTTAGGCAAACATATTTCAAATAGCAACCACAGCACACATCTTTTTACCAATATTGTTTACAATATCTGTACCTATTACTACCTAAATAAGGAAGCTACCAGAATTCCAAAACGGATCGTCACGGATTCATGGGCAAGGCAATTGGTAGATGATTATATTAACAAGATGAAGAAAACAAGAACTAGTGTAAATATAGTCAATGCTAAACGACGATGTCACTACAGCTGAAACAAGTTTAAAATGTTCTAGTGAGTGAGTGAATTGAGTTTCACGCTGCTTTCAATAGTATGTCAGCTATATCACAGCGTGTCCGCTTGATGTTGAAGGAAGGCCTTTAGGAGAGCGGGTCTTAGACGTTTAGTTGGTTGGTTTGTTGTTTCACGCCGCACTCAGCAATATTCCAGCTATATGACGGCGGTCTGTAAATAATCGTGTCTGGACCAGACAATCCAGTGATTAATATCATGAGCAATTGGGATGGATGACATGCATCAACCAAGTCAGCGAGCCTGACCACTCGATCCCGTTAGTCTTCTTTTACGACAAGCATAGTCGTCTTTTACGGAAAGCGTAGGTTGCTGAAGACCTATTCTTCCCAGGAATCTTCACGGGTATCTTAGACGTTAACTAATGAGGTGAAAGCCTTGAGTGAGTGAGTGAGTGAGTTGGGTTTAACGCCGCTTTAAACAGTATTCCAGTTATATCGCGGCGTGTCAGCTTAATGTGGGAGGAAAGCCCGAAGTGATGCAGGTCTTAGACGTTTACCAGTTTGGTGAAACCCACGAGCACGGGTATGGTGCTGACAAACCTAGAAACATAATCGGGGCGAACCGGGATTCGAACCCATAATCATAGGTTTCTTGCGTGCCCGAAAGCCTTGAGAATGGGCATGGTGCTGACAAACCTGGAAACATAATTGATGGTATAGCAAAGTGCAATTTCACAAACTGGGCGTAATTGAATTGATGTGAACAAGTTTTTCTAACGTAGCTGTACCCCGAATTCAGGTTGAGATATTGCAAGTCACGCAGCAAGGCCACTAGAGTGATGACTTCACAAAAAAGTCGATATCGGGTCAACTTGACTTATAGTAGATATCGGGTGACTTTGACGTATAGTTGATATCGGGTGACCTTTACGAGGAGTCAGTAAAGTTTGTTAATTTGCACTGAACATCTATCAGCTATATGACGGCGGCCTGCAACTAATCTGTGCTAGACAATCTGGTGATTAATATTTTAAGATTGGTTGGTCGGTTGGTTTGTTGTTTAACGCCGCACTCAGCAATATTCCAGCTACGTGACGGCGGTCTGTAAATAATCGAGTCTGTACCAGACAATCCAGTGATTGATATCATGAGCATCGATCCACGCAATTGGGATCGATGAAATGTATCAACCAAGTCAGCGAGCCTGACCACCCGATCCCGTTAGTCGCCTTTTACGACAAACATAGTCACCTTTTACGGCAAGCATGGTTTGTTGAAAAGCTATTCTACCCCGGAATCTTCACGGGTCAATATTTTAAGATAAGATAGATTAGATAATGCTTCATTACCCGTTAGGGAATTTTTATACATCAGATTGATACACATTCATGAACAAATAACTTGAAAAGAACAAGAACATGTTATTCGTACCCAAGAGCACGGTACATTCACCCTGCACTATCAAAAGAACCCACCCACTCATCCGATGGTAGATGAGCAGATGGTGGAAACACGAAAACTTTCATACACCCGAAACACAAGTGTCAATACTTGTGGTGTCAATGTGGACAAGTGACAGAGTTCAAATGTGCTTCTGTTCACCGAACAGGGAATGGGTACCCGATATTTGAGGTGGATGTAAAAACCCTCTAGCGTCAGTGGGCAGCTTGGGTTGTATACTTTCCAGGGAGTTGAGAATGGTAATGGCTGGAATGCATACGATTGGGGAACAATACAACCACATTTGAGAAGATACTAGTATAGAAGTGCAGTATATAAGTGTAAAACAAAACTAAGTGAGTGAGTGAGTTTGATTTTACGCCGCTTCCAGAAATATCACGGCGGGGGACGCCAGACTTTTGCTTCACACGGTGTACCCATGTCGGGAATCGAACCCGGGTCGTCGGCGGGACGAGCGAACGCATTAACCACTAAGCTATCTGACCTTCCCTATAATAACTGAGAGGGGGTAACCAAGAAACCAAGTAAAGCACGGAAGAGGAGGAATTTAAAATCGGATGATATGCAATAAAAAAACAGGTTACAGGAATAAAAAAATATTTAAAAATTTGGAACAAGTACCCGATCCCCCCCGGATGGTAAAAGAACAAAACAAGGAAATAAACCAGAGATATGTTTGTTTGTTGTTTAACGCCGCACTCAGCAATATTCCAGCTATATCACGGCGGTCTGTAAATAATCGAGTCTGGACCAGACGATCCAGTGATTTACATCATGAGCCTCGATCCACGCAACTGAGATGCGATGACATGCATCACACCAAGTCAGCCAGCCTGACCACCCGATCCCGTCAGGAGCATCTTACGATAAACATAGTCGCCTGTTACGGCAAGCATGGGTTGCTGAAGACCTGTTCTAACAAGGACCTCACGGGTCATATACACAGTGAGAATGATCATCTAAATGCTACCAGCTTAGTAAGCAACCTGGTTATAGAGCTCACCTATAAGAACTGACATGATGAGATATATTGCCTCCTGAATTTATGATTTTCTTGAGTTTTGTTCTTTAGGGGGTCCACACTAGCACGCAATACGGAAGATTAAAACAAAGTTTATAACACAATGACATAACAGAACAGTGAACATTGATTGTTTTCAGTTTTCGACGTGATTTTGCACTTCTAAAGCTTACACATTAAAATGTCAGTCACACCTCGTATATGTGTACTTCGTTACAAGCACAAAGCACGTGACAAAGCACGTGACAAAGTACGTGATCTAGACTATCATTTGTCGGGTAACTTTAGTGGAAGTCTCGGTGGCTGAGTGGGTTAGAACGCTGACTTTGTGTGCTGGCGATGAGGTGCCTCACTCTGGCAGTGTGGGGTCGAGTCTAGGACAGGTCTCAACCCCAAAAAGTACGAGAATCTGTACTTTACTCATAAAGTGTTATCCCATATATAACCTATGTTACATTTGACCAATTTCTAAATGGCATTGTGTGTTCATGCTATATTTGTGGCTTACATATTTTGCTCCACAAGAGAGAAAGGCGTCGCAGTTCGCTGTGCAGTGTTGTGTCCCTTAGGCGTGCCAGAATTTCACACTCACTCACTCTAAATTTATTTAGTTGTAAACAGACTATTATCACTCACTCACTCACTCTAATTTTATTTAGTTGTAAACAGACTATTATCACTCACTCACTCACTCACTCTTAATTCATTTAGTTGTAATCAGACAATCATCACTCTCACTCTTAATTTATCTAGTTGTAAACAGCACTTTCATCACTCACTCACTCTAAATTTATTTAGTTGTAAACAGACTATCACCACTCACTCACTCACTCACTCTTAATTCATATAGTTGTAATCAGACAATCATCACTCTCACTCGTCATTTATCTAGTTGTAAACAGCACTTTCATCACTCACTCACTCACTCCCTCACCCACTCTAAATCTATTTAGTTGTAAACACTTTCATCACTCACTCTCTCACTCACTCAGCTACTCTAAAGTTATTTAGTTTGAAACACTTTCATCACTCACTCTACATCTATTTAGTTGTAAACAGACTTTCATCACTCACTCACTCTAAATCTTTTTAGTTGTAAACAGACTATCTTCCCTCACTCACTCACTCTAAATTTATTTAGTTGTAAATAGACTATCAGCACTCACTCACTCTAAATGTATTTAGTTGTAAACAGACTATCATCACTCACTCACTCTACATCTATTTAGTTGTAAACAGACTTTAATCACTCACTCACTCACTCACCCGTTCTAAATTTATTTAGTTGTAAACAGACTATCAGCACTCACTCACTCCCTCTAAATTTATTTAGCTATCAACAGACTTTCATCACTCACTCTAAATTTAATTAGTTGTAAACAGACTATCAGCACTCACTCACTCACTCACCCACTCTTAATCTATTTAGTTGTAAACACTTTCATCACTCACTCACTCAGCCACTCTAAAGTAATTTAGTTTTAAACACTTTCATCACTCACTAACTCACTGTACATCTATTTAGTTTAAAACAAACTTTCATCACTCACTCACTCTATCACTCACTCACTCTAAATTTAATTAGTTGTAAACAGACTATCATCGGTAACTCACCCACTCTAAATTTATTTAGTTTTAAACACTTTCATCACTCACTCACTAACTCACTCACTCTACCACTCACTCACTCTAAATTTATTTAGTTGTAAACAGACTATCATGACTCACTGACTCACTGACTGAGCCAGTCTAAATCTATTTAGTTGTAAACACTTTCATCACTAACTCACTCAGCCACTCTAAAGTAATTTAGTTTTAAACACTTTCATCATTCAGTCACTCACTCTACATCTATTTAGTTTAAAACAGACTTTCATCACTCACACACCCACTCACTCTATCACTCACTCACTCTCAATTTTATTAGTTGTAAACAGACTATCATCACTCACTCACTCACTCACTCTGCATCTATTTTGTTTAAAACAGACTTTCATCACTCACACACTCACTCACTCTGTCACTCACTCACTCTCAATTTATTTAGTTGTAAACACTTTCATCACTCACTCACTCAGCCACTCTAAAGTTATTTAGTTTTAAACACTTTCATTTCTCACTCACTCACTCACTCTAAATTCATTTAGTTGTAAACAGACTATCATCACTCACTCACTGACTCTAAATTTATTTAGTTGTAAACAGACTTTCATCACTCACTCACTCACCCACTCACTCACTCTAAATTTATTTAGTTGTAAACAGACTTTCATCACTCACTCACTCACTCTACATTTATTTAGTTGTAAACAGACTTTCATCACTCACTCTAAATTTATTTAATTGTAAACAGACTTTCATCACTCACTCACTCACCCACTCTAAATTTATTTAGTTGTAAACACTTTTATCACTCACTCACTCAGCCACTCTAAAGTTATTTAGTTTTAAACACTTTCACCACTCACTCACTCACTCTCTCTATCACTCACTAATTCTAAATTTTATTAGTTGTAAACAGACTATCATCACTCACTCACTCACTCACTCACTCACCTACTCTAAATTTATTTAGTTGTAAACACTTTCATCACTCACTCACTCAGCCACTCTAAAGTTATTTAGTTTTAAACACTTTCATCACTCACTCACTCACTCACTCTATCACTCACTCACTCTAAATTCATTTAGTTGTAAACAGACTATCATCACTCTCACTCACTCTAAATTTATTTAGTTGTAAACAGACTATCATCACTCACTCACTCACTCACTCACTCTAAATTTATTAAGTTGTAAACAGACAATCATCACTCACTCACTCACTCACTCACCCATTCTAAATTTATTAAGTTGTAAACAGACAATCATCACTCACTCACTCACTCACTCACCCATTCTAAATTTCTTAAGTTGTAAACAGACTATCATCGCTCACTCACCCACTCACTCACCCACTCTGAATTTATTTAGTTATAAACAGACAATCATCACTCACTCACTCACTCACCCACTCTAAATTTCTTAAGTTGTAAACAGACTATCATCGCTCACTCACCCACTCACTCACCCACTCTAAATTTATTTAGTTATAAACAGACTATCATCACTCACTCACTCACTCTAAATTTATTTAGTTGTAAACAGACTTTCATAACTCACTCAGTCCCCCACTCTAAATTTATTTAGTTGTAAACAATTTCATCACTCACACACTCACTCACCCACTCTAAATTTATTTAGTTGTAAACACTTTCATCACCCACTCTAAATTTATTTAGTTGTAAACAGACTTTCATCACTCACTCACTCACCCATTCTAAATTTGTGACTTTCATGACGCAGCACGAAGTTCTATATCACATTAACCAGGTCACCGATAACAAACTGTCTCACACAGTGCGTCGCTGTGTTGATAAGTTGTGTGTTGTCTGGAGCACACCTGTATAGTCAGACGTGAGGTAAGTTTTGTGAAACATTAGTCTGTTGTATAGCATACTAACTATAGGTGCAGTCGTATAGTAGTGGTATTACAACGGTACACATAGACCAATTGCTACCAGTTGTGGTTTACAACTGATTCTAACATGATATTTTAGAATCCTGCATTCTGATTGGTCCGCCAGCGTTAGACCATGATGGTGCAGATGACCGTCGCGGTAAGATAAATATATTCATTCGCAAACCCACTCGTTTGGCAATCTCCGCTACCGATCTTAATTCATTGACGTTGCTAAATAACGTGCTGCTGTTCCTTCATTATCTACAACAAGCGTGGATATGTCTTTCAGGCGAACAATTGACGAACAAATACTTAAAGAGTAAATTCAACATCTTCATCACGGCTCGACATTTGGCTTTCCTTCTCATGCACATTTCCTTTTCGACCAGTCCCTTTATACGCAAACCTGAGTTCACGATATATAAAGTCGCTCGGTTTGTTTGTTGGTTGGTTTGTTGTTTAACGCCGCACTCAGCAATATTCCAGCTACATGACGGCGGTCTGTAAATAATCGAGTCTGGACCAGATAATCCAGTGATTGATATCATGAGCATCGATCCACGCAATTGGGATCGATGACATGCATCAACCAAGTCAGTGAGCCTGACCACCCGATCCCGTTTGTCGCCTCTTACGACAAGCATAGTCGCCTTTCACGGGAAGCATGGGTTGCTGAAGACCTATTCTACCCCAGATCTTCACGGGTCGGTCACTTCTCATTGTCATTAGAATTAAAACATGTATTACATTTTTTTCTCCTTTTTTTACATAACTATATTATGAACAATAAGTCTAAAAAGGAACTTTTATTTAGAAAAAGGATTTTAAAAGATGGCACTTGTTGTTACCCTGTCTGGCGCTCGGCATTAAGGGGCTAAAACAGGGACTGGTCGGCTCTGAGTCAGAATACTGTGTCTGAGTGGGGTATTCATGTTAAACTGCGGCATGGTATCTCAATGAGCTAGTACTTCAAATCGGCATTAGTCCGGACTAGTACAAGCAGCCACACACATACATACGTCGCTATATAAGTGCAATAATCTTGGACGCGACGTTAAACCCCATTTCACCTCACCTCACCTATTATATCAGAGCTTATCAAATTATGAAGACAATAAGACTATGGCGACTTCGAAAAGATGTTTGTATTCATATATTTAATCGACATAAACCAGTAGTACAAAAGAGTAAAAAACCTGTACATGTCAGCACTTGAGAAATGAAAAAGTCCTTTCAGTTGGCACAGAAACCACTGGTGTCAAACACGGACGCGTCAGTATCTGTCCCTTTCCCAGACCAGGCAACAGCGCTACGTTTATCGAGTGCTTAAAAAACCTGTACATGTCAGCACTTGAGTAATGAAAAAGTCCTTTTAGTTGGCACAGAAACCACTGGTGTCAAACACGGACGCGTCAGTATCTGTCCCTTTCCCAGACCAGGCAACAGCGCTACGTTTATCGAGTGGTATGCCTCTTGCAAGGGACGCGACTCTTCCCATTAATAACTTGCGCTCAGTGCTACTGTCATTGCGGATTTGTTTACTGTCGAAGGTCGGCTTGCTGTTAAATTAACCAGGTCCTGTTAACGTATAGACTGCTTACTATAACTGCCAGGACGTCTCTTGGGTAATGGTTTGTTTTATTGTGGTTGTGTCAACAGTGCGAATGCAAAATTTGTTTGCCACCAAGTATGATTAAAATCGATATGGCTCAAGACATATCTTTTAGTATCGGAAAATACATATTATGATATTCACGCGTGCCTCTTAGATCCTTTGAGTTAGTTGTGTCAGACTTGTCTGTTGTTGTTTAACGAAGCACTCACCAATATTTCTCCTAAATGACGGCGGTCTGTAAATAATCGAGTTTGCTCATGTATTGTCATTTTAGCCAATAAGCGGCACTGAACTTTAGTCAAACACGTGTTTTTCCCGGAAGTATGAAAAACAAGGCAAGAAAAGATAACTCTAAATGTAACGTTTTTGACCTGGAATATAGAAACAGAGAGACGTCCGTAAAATATTGCCTCGTAGGGGCAAGACAAAGACTAAAACTGTAACCCAAATGAAAGCCAATCTGACAATCAAAGAATTTTGTTATATCTCCATCGCTGCACCCTCACTCAAGCCAAACGTAGGGTGAACGCAGTTTAACATTGTAAATATCTTCTCATCTCAACCAGACCACGGACTTGTAAAGATCCGTGACCAGACTGACATGAACAAAATTATAGTTATGGTGACACACTGTAATTGGATTGGTCAGTGGCATCACCTATCCCACGGAACAATGATAACCTGGAACTTGCCTCGAAAAGAAAACCAAATGAAAATTAGGTTAACATTCATCGATGAATCCATTTGTTATTTCAGAATGTGGACTGGAATGAGGCTTGCGCTTGTGACTTTGTTGGCGGTGGTACATATAGCGAAGACGCAGAAAGTGTCAACTCTTAATGGCCCACTTCATGGACAACGTCTCTCAGTTCTGGGCAGATCTGTTAACGTATACTATGGAATCCCATATGCAAAGCCCCCTGTAGGCGATCTCCGTTTCAAGAACCCTCAGCCTTCAGAGTCATGGGGACCGGAAGTTAGGGATGCACAAAACCCGACGCCATCTTGCATTCAACCTAAAGATGTTATTAAAACTGCTGGGACTCACAGAGAAACTCCTGATGATTATAGTGAAGACTGCCTTCATCTTAACGTGTGGGCGCCAACAGACAGCGATGGCAATCTGGCCGTGATGGTTTGGATCCATGGTGGGGGTTGGTATTTTGGATCTACACGACTGCAACTATATGAAGGCAAATACCTTGCAGCAGAAAATAACGTCATCGTTGTATCAATGAATTACAGATTAGGGCCTTTAGGATTCAGCTATCTGGGGCCGTATACCATCCCTGGCAACATGGGCTTGATGGATCAAAGACTTGCCTTAAAGTGGGTGAAAGATAATATTGTCTACTTCGGCGGAGATCCAACCCGCGTGACCATATTTGGAGAAAGTGCTGGTGGTGCCAGCGTGGGTCACCACTTGGCCTCACCTCTGTCACGTGACATGTTTGACAGAGCCATCATGCAAAGTGGCACTCACATTTCTCCATGGGCTTACACCGTACCAAAAACAGCAAAGCGAAAGATGAAGAGGTTTGCTGATCTCCTTGGATGTCCATCATCTTCAACTGATACAGACATCTACGACTGCTTGAAGACAGCAGATGCCCAAACTATGGCTGATGTTCAGTTCGGTTTGTTTGATGAAGGAATTGCTTTTGTCCCAGTTGTGGATGGCTACTTTCTCCCCGATGACCCCACAACTCTTCTGTCCAGCGGTTCCATCAAGCAGACCAGTGTATTGCATGGTTTTACTAAAGATGAGGCAGCACTGTTTTCGGCAGTATTGTTACAGAAGATGAGAAATGTATCTACCTTACCGGAAACGCTGACTTTAAGTCGCCAAGAGTATGATAGTCTTCTTTCAGTTGAATTTGCAAATGAAGAAAATAAACAAATGAAAGAACCACTTCGATTGTTTTATGAAAGTCAGAAAGCCCCTCTAAAAGACATACACTATCTTGATGTAGTGAATCGCTTGCGTACGGATAGGGGAATGAAGTGTCCTCATCTTGAGTTTGACAGATTGCACTCTCCTGCTAACCCTACCTATGTGTACAGTTTTAATCACCGACTATCAATTAGCCCGTATCCTCAATGGATAGGAGCAGCCCACTGGTACGAGCTTGACTTTGTGTTAGGTTTGGTCCTTGACGAGTCTCTGGGATGTACACAAGAGGAAGTGGAACTCAGCAGGACCATCATGACCTACTGGACCAACTTTGCCAAGTCAGGGTGAGTGAGTGAAGGAGAGAGGGAAAACCTCTGTGTAGTTATCCATTCTGGAACGTTCCCAATTCTTCATACATGTGGTACTTACAGGTTATTATTTGTAATGTGTTACGTAATCCACTACTGTCATAAGCTACTATTTTGGAAACACAATCCCAAATTTCTGTCGTCTTTAACAAAGCATGAATTACCTCGGACCTATTTTGCCACAGATGAATTAATTTGTGACTCATCTCAATAGTGGCGGGGGGCACGGGCGGCCCAGTCGTCTAAGGCGCCGTGATTCGCTGTGCAGAGTTGCGTCCCTTGGGCACGCCAGAAACCTATGATTGAGGGTTCGAGTCCCGGTTCACCAGGATTATGTTTCTAGGTTTGTCAGCACCATACCCGTGCTCGTGGGTTTCACTGAAGTGGTAAACGTCTGAGACCTGCATCACTTCGAGGCTTTCCTCCCACATTAAGCTTACACGCCGCGATATAATTGTAATACTGTTAAAAGCGGCGTAAAACCAAAATCACTCACTCACTCACTCAATAGCGGCGCGTCCATGTACGTGTACACATACGATGGGACTGGTTAATCCTGAAAACATATTATGTTCCTCATAAATGATGCAGGGGTGATAAGGTTACAGCGTTCGCTCGTCACGCGGGATGATCGGGTTTTGTTTCCCTTTATGGTTAGTACCATATACTTTCTATCTGTATCCCACAATCATGATATTGCTGGATTGTTGCTAAAGGTGGCGTGAAACAATACTCACTCGCTCATTTTTAAATGATGAAAAACATTCTAGACTGTCTCAAGTTGTGATATCTGTTTGCAGTGACCCCAATGCTCCGGTCCCAGTGAAGGTAGACTGGCCGGCCTCTGACAACACTGATCTCACCTACATGACCCTTGACGTGGGCAACAACTTAGCAGCAGGACACGGGGTAGTCCATCACGAATGTGTCTTTATCAACAGCATTCTACCCATGATTACTGCAGGTACTGTTTATGATGGAATATTGAATACGATATGATTATTTTATTTATTTAATTTTTACACATATAGTGTGGTCGGGGAGTGACTTAAATACTACTTTCTGTTGCCAAGTCCAAGTAAACACTACCCAAATAGATCGACATCAAAGGAAGTAACATTTTGCAGTTTCCAATGCAGGTCAAGTCTCCCTTTAACATTATTCACATTCAACGAACCACTCAAAGCTGCCCTTCTCTCCTGATCAGTACATGCAACCAACCCTACTGTTCGACCAATGCTAAAAATAGGATATAACTTGACGCATACTTTTTTTTTCTAATACAGTCATTGCTTCATATTGGATTTTTCTTTTTAAAAAATCATTTAACTGCCTCTGCATTTAACCACCTCTGCATTTAACCACCAAGTGATCATACCAGAACTTGGCGCTCGGCATTAAGGGGCTAAAACAAGGACTGGTCGGCTCGGAGTCAGTATACTGTGTCTGAGTGGGGTATTCATGTTAAACTGCGGCATGGTATCTCAGTGAGCTAGCACTATAAATCGGCATCAGTCCGGACTAGTACAAGCAGCCACACACACACATACACGTGCATGCACGTCGCTATATAAGTGCAATAATCTTGGACGCGACGTTAAACCCAATTTCACCTCACCTCATACCAGAACTAGCCGAAAACTCGACTTGCGACAATTCTTAATAGGAAACATCCATAATGGTTGTAGTGTGAGCTTAAGGACGACTACAAGCACAAAGGACGCCCCACACATCAACTTGTAAAAATAGCTATAATGTAGGTTGGTTCCATTAAAGTGGTGAAACGTCTTGGTCCCGCATCACATCATGACATCACTCAAATACTGACCACAGTGGCGACACATGCAAATTGGCTTCACTAAAGCGGTGAACGTCTGGGACCCGCATCACATCATGGCATGACTGAAATACTGACCACAGCGGTGACACACACACTCCACACACTAAAGCGGTGAACGAAAAGGATGGAACATATCAGTATATACATGATAATTCAAATCAGCATGAAGGTACTTAAACGTGTGAGACCTGCATCACCTTATGCTTTCCTCCACGTGAATCTGACACGCCATGATATAACTGAAATACTGTTCAAAGCGGCGTTGGGCCCAACTCATTCACTCAGCATCTAGCAACTAGCATTGTAGCTAAATGGTGTATCTTTGGGAAATACATGTATACTGAAGTGCAGTCAAGGAAATAATGAATCAAATTATTGCGTTTCAGATCCACTGGAAGGGCAGGAGTACTGCACAAAAGGATGAAAGGACAGCATTATAATAATCAGACACAATTAAATACATAAATATCATTATTTTTTTGGCTTAACGCTGCTTTGATCTGTTAATCAGTCATATAACCAAGTGTCAGCGCAGAGGGGCAAAAAATTCCCATGTTGCCCAGGGCAGGGGTAGTCCTCACTCATGTAGGACGCCACACCGCATAGCTATTGTGATGCCTGTGAATGCTTAGCCACCCGTATACAACAATCACACCAACTACACTCCTGTATACCTGTCAATGCCATCATGGAATAAACGATTTGTCTGCATTATGTTCTGTGTTAAATCTTACTTAGCATAAAGTGTCATGTGATTGCATGCACGAGAAGTCTCATGGTACATGCGGTGGAAATGTCCTCATGTCTACCATAAAATTTGAAAGCTTTACTGAGGCCTTGAATGTTGTAACCTTGATCAAACAACTTCTGAGTAAGCGTCGTATAATGCTCTTTTACAATCTTGTGAGAAAGAGCATGCCCGCTGGTACCTAAGGCGCTGTAGAAACTTTCCTCAACATTAAGGGAAAGTTGACTATTGGAAAGTTGAAGTCATCCCTCTTGTGATACAGTCTTGTTGAGAGTGTGTTGTCATCCTGAATTTTTTATGCATAGATCTAAATGTGAAACGGATGGTCTCTGGTCTCCTTAATTTCTAGTTCAGCTTGGTAAATAAGTGGAAGGGAAATGGCTTTTTGATGGTTATTGAACGAAATCAGATCACCGTATAGTGGAGGGTCAGTTACAAGTAAACTTCATGGGCAAATTGCCTTCTATTGACCTTGCCAATCTGAGCTGAATTTCTGATTCATATGCATAATCAAAAAGATCAGCAAGAAGGGGAGCACAATTGGTGCCCATAGGGAAGCTTACTTCTTGCCTAAATGTCTTTCCCAAAACTTTTAAACTTTTACATGGATGTTATCAATGAGGAAGTCCAGCATTTAGCATAGTGTTTTCTCAGTAAACTTCAGATGGCATTTGCTTTCATTTTTGACAAATGCCCTGAACCTCTGAAGATAGATATGTGACTGTATGGTCCATGGTCAACACGTTTTGTAACAGCAGAAATTAAGGAACGAAGTTTTCCCTTAAGTTTGTCCTGTGGGATTGTGGTTTACAAAGTTGCAAAATCAAATGTTTTTACTGAATTGAACCTGGTTCTTTTGTACAATTGTAAAACTTCAAGCATATACTTTGAGTTCTACAAAACTACAGTGGTGATTGCAAAAGTCAGTAATTATTATATATATTCACCCAGCAGCGACAGTGGTCAAGCTTCCGAGATGGGCCTGGCAGGAAAACAGGGATGACGAGCGACCTCACATGAAAGCTGGTTCCGATGTGATGAAAATGCGTGAGAGATACGTTAACACGCTATTGTCCTCTTTATATACAACCTACCCATCCACTCGAAAGTTCGACACAGTGCCCTCACTTGTCCATCGGCACTAGAACATTAAAGAGGTTTTCATAACATGCCATTACCGTCCACGGTATACCGAACTGAAAGGTTACAAACCACACAAGCATCTAAATATAGTAATTACCCGACGACTGAGCACTGCGCAAACACAATACAATGAGCGTCGTCTACCGAATCCAAACAGAAACAATGCAACAGCTACAATCACTGTTAAACAACAAAAGACACTGCCACATATAACACATGACACTACCCAATATTCAGAACAATGCAAAGTACCCAAGACACACGCTTCACATGACACCACATAATATATTCAGAACAAGGCATAGTGCACAAGAGACACACACACATCACATGATACAACGTATCAGACTGGCTTGAAACAGTCTTGCCTCTTTTCGTTAATTAGCAGTCATTAACGTTCCTTCTCACGACCTCTCTCATGGACGAGGGCTGGTCAAAAACGTTCTAAGCCTAACAAACAAAACCAACAATTGTGAAAGTGTTTTCATTTTTATTTTTCAACCTAATCATAAACTCTAAACATGAATCAGGCAAATGCTTCAAGGGCTGATAGTGAATATTATCAGCTCCCGTTGCAGTATCGTGCGCTTGACCTAGCGCAGTATTTAGCTCATGGGGTGAAAATACCTCATTATAATCTTCTCCATTTTGAGAAGTAAAATCAACCCTCTTTTTTTCCAGTTGTTTCTGATATTTTTGAAACTTAGGATCATAGTTTGACGATAAAGAGTGTTTGGTCAGCGTTTCGCCTAATTTATTGGCAATGTCCGATTTATCTGTTAAAAGATGCTCACCTTCCTTGAGACATAGTTCCTCCAAGACTTACGCTTATTTTGTTTGAATGAGCGGCGTGCCTTGGCATTTGTGATTTTAACAGATTTGAGTTGTGGACAGTTGGATGTCGGCGGAAATATTTCTCCGCGTTTTTCCTGCACTTCCTAGCCTGTTGGCAGTCTTTATCAAACCATGGTTTTCGAATGTATGGATTTGCAGAGGACTTAGGGATGGTTATATCAGCAATTCCATTCAGCTTATCCGAAAACGATTGGATTGGGTCGGTAACAGTCCTGAACATATCAGGTGTAATATAATCTGTCTGTACAGAGTTCCTGAAAGGAAGGCCAGTTGGCCTTGGTAAAATTCCACCTTGATGTAGGTGGAACATCAGATGGATTATTTGCTGTTAAGTTCAATTAACAGGATGTAAATAGGAATGAGATCCATCATTGAAAATGCATTAATTGTTATCAGAAATAAAATCTTAAAGGACGTTAACACTTCCCCATAATGGGTTATGTCCGTTCAAGTCACCCATGATCATGCAGGGCTTAGGGACCTGATCATATAAGGATTGAAGATCTGATGCCTGAAGCACAGAGGAGGGAGAAATATACAGTGAACACAGAGTAAAAGGTTATGTGTAAAGTTAGTCTGACTGTAACAGCTTGCAGATGAGTTTGAAGTGAAACAGGGCTGTGGATCACTCCCTGCTTCACAATAAGAGTAAATCCTCCAGTAGCTTTAACACCAGGTGGAGAAAATGAATGATAGGAACTGTACCGGCGCAAATCAAAGGTGTCAGTCTGTTTGAGATACGTCTCTTGAAGACAGATTGCTGAAGGCATAAAATGTTGAATTAAAAGATGTAACTCGTAAAAATTGGTCCGGAGACCTCTGTAATTCCAATGAACTAGTGGAGTGGAACTGTTCATTATACGGGTGGGTGAACAGGATATCTATTTCTCCCATTTCGCGGCGACTTACTTCTGTTGCGCCCTTGAGAATGTGAAGAGACATCCAAGGTTTGATACCGATTATATATTTGAATAGGGTCACGCTGACCCTTTGGTACACGATCTGATTTTTTTGCATAGTCAACGTTTTTGTTTGCACTTTTAACAGGGGCTGGTTTTAGTGCTGTTTCTGGCTTTGGTGCCAATGTTGGCTTTGGTGCTGTTGCCTTGTGAGTTGATACTGGAGCTGATGGTGATATATTACCTATTTTGGAAGATGAACAGGATTGTACAAAAGAATAGTTCGCTGTTGAGACCCAAGTAATATCTGTCTGGCATTCAACAGACATGACAGATTTGGCAGGGATGCATGTCACAGCCGCTGAGTAGGACACTGCTGAGGTTGGAGAAACAGAAGCCATGATCAAACGCTTTGCTTCGGGGAAGGTGATATTCCTTTCATGTTTCACTTTCACAATCTGAAGTTGAATTTTGAATTTTGGACATGGCTTCGAAGAAGCCACTTGGTCACCTGAACAGTTTGCGCAATGAGTTTTTTTTGTTGACATTTTGAATCAAAATTGAGGTCATCTTCACCGCATTGATGACATATCTTGCGACGGTTGCAAGATTGTGCACCGTGCCCGAACTGCTGGCATATGTAACATCGAAGTGGGTTTGGAATGTATTGATCCACTTCGATGTTAGAATTGAGAGTTTTTTGAGCTGAAATCAAAACTTGAGTAGATACTAAATGTAGTAGAGTAGAGCAGCTAGTAAAGTTGTTGATTGTTTGGCAGTTTTACACTCAATCAGCAGCAATCCCGACCTTATCTTTTTGACATCCTTGGCATCTCCAACAATGCCATAAAGTGCCTTAGAAATGGCAAAAGGATCCAATTTCAAAGGTGTACCAAACCACTAAATATCTAGACCAACTACCAGAAGAACACTTCAGGATGGCAGTCTCCTCATCCGAGTATCACAGGGACAATGCTATAAGCCAGCGGATCTCCAACTGGCAGCACCAAGGATTCATGAATGGTATACTCAAGCAGACGAATTAAATATAATTAATTAGCCTACCAGATTGGCCCATGAGCCACCACCGCCTTCTGGGCATACGACTCCAGGCATGGGAATGATTTTTCAGTCAAAAATTCAAATTCCAACGGGCTGCCCAATTTTGTCACCTTTTACGACAAGAAATGGGGTGCTGAGGACACATTCTACCCCGGGTCCACACGGTGGAAGAGTGATTAGCGTTACCCAGCACTCACCACGGGAGGTTGCTCTTCACGAGTGCCCACTGACTAATGGTGTGGTTTTATTCATCTGTCGATAATGAGTGTCACTTCATGAAGCGTTATATTTGTAGCTTAATTATTCGGCGTCACAACGGTTAAACCTCACTGTACCCTCACCCCGAGTGTTGGTAACCCTACATTTTTGGTTATAGTCTGTCTCACTAAAGTGGACATGTGCAGGTAAAAAGGTCTCGGGTGAACACTGCTCGCTTAGTGTCTAGTCATTTCTGAAGACATTCATATGTAGATTAGTAATTAACAATGAGTATTAAATGTCAGTGCCGCCATGTCTAAACGATATTTGTTAATTATAATTCTGTTTGTATAGTTTTTGTTTGTTTGATTAAATGTTCGTTTATTTAACGCCGCGCGAGTCTGGACCAGACAATCCAGTGATTGATATCATGAGCATCGATCCACGCAACTGTGTTTCGATGACATGCATCAACCAAGTCAGCGAGCCTGACCACCCGATCCTGTTAGTCGCCTCTTATGACAAACATAGTCGCCTTTTACGGCGAACAAGGTTTTTTAGGACGTTTTCTAACCTGGGTCGTCCTGCACATGTGTTGTGTATATCTATAAATGAATAAACTTGCACCTCATATTCTGCAACAGAATCTAGTTAACCACCCATTTTCTCCCAATTTAAAATGTCTGACTGTAATTTTACCCAGAACAATGGCTGAGGGCAAGTGAGGTGTTCGTGAGTGATAGTGGTAAAAGTCTAAACACAAATAGCACTTCGATCTTTCCTCCCACGATGTAACTAAAATACTGTAA